TCTTAAAGATATCTTCTTTCTATACTTATTATAAATATAATTCTTCATTATTCAGTGACATTGTGAATAATATTTTAAAGAGAGAAATAGACAGTCAGAATATTAAACAGATACAGAGAACAGAGTATCTCTCAGTATCAGAAGTAAAAGTGAGATTGAAACTTTTGAATAAAATTTATAAGAAGATGATGAAAAGTATTCATCACACTCAGAAATAGTAGATAAAATACTATAATTAAAAATATCTTTCAATGAAGTTCTTAATAGAGAATTAAGTACTACTTTCAGCAAAGAATATCAAGATAATAAGACTATATAAGAAGCTCAGTGAGCAGTGACTAGAATCTTTCTCAGTAATAAAAGTAATGAGTAAATAGATATATAAGTTAAAATTACTCTCAGAATTGAAATCAATTTATTCTGTTTTTCACATTTTCTATTTGAAGCTCTATAAGTAACATCTCAGAGTAGAGCTGTCTCAGCTGAATAATATTAAGATTGAGAGTAATACTGAATATCTTATAAAGAAAATATTGAATAAGTAAATATATTATAGCAAGCTTCAATATCTTATTAAATAAGAAGAATATTTATTATCAGAGAATTCATGAGAACTGCTTGAGTATTTGAAAAATGCTGAGAAAGAGATTTCAAGCTATGAAACAGCTAGTAGAGACTGTCTCATTACACATCAGAGATGTTAAATAAGAAATATTACTTAAGACTTCTCATTTTTTTTAAAGAGTTTTTTAGAGATAATTTTACAATGATAAGTCAGTGTCTTATTAACTCTATAGCACTCTTCTTCTATTTTCTCTCAAAGAATTTTTAGAAGTTTAATGAGACTATACAAGTGTAAAATTCCTGAAGCAGTTAATAAGAAAAGAAAGAAATATTTAAAATTAATAAAGATTAATATTATTAACTCATGAGTCACTGCTATTCTAATAGAGTCACAGTCTGCTGAAAAAGTAAAAAGAGAGATCAGAGTCTACTTATTAATAATTATATTCTTATCAAACTTATTCTTCACTGTTAAAGTCTCTGACACTGATATCTTTATCTGCTGAGAAATTAGCACTGCAGTATTACAGAGAAGCATGCTATAGAAGAGTATAAGAGATGCTGAAAGTATTAACTTATCAACTTACAAAGCATCTCAGTTATCTATTTCAACTGAAGTAAGATTCTCTTCAATCAGTGATTAATCTTTACAGTACTTTCAACAGCAGTATCAGCTAATCTCTTCTTAAGATCAGTTATTCTGAGGTGTTTTTTTATCTCAGAGACTCACACTTTCATCTTCTTTTATAGATAAGTAAGAGAGATCTTTTCAGTCTTAATGAAATTCATCAATACTTGAAGCTCTGAGACTCTCACTCTGTACTACTTAAGTATCTAAGCTTCTTATCAGAGCTGATATAATATCTTTCTGTGAGATAATACTTATAGAGAGACAGAAGTTATTGTTATAGATATAATAGAAACAACAGAAGTGAGAGAAGAAGTAGATATATAAAATTCCTCTCTTCTTCAGCTGCTTAACATAGTGTAGATAAGTGATAGTGTCAGTCAGAGATTACACTGAAGTCTTCTCACAGAAAGAAGATAAAGAAACTGCAGAACTCTGCAGACTCAACTCAGCAGTATCTCAAGTAGAACTCAGATATGTCACATGAGAGAAACTACAGATTAAGCTTCTCAGAGTCACTATTCTCAGAATTAAGCTCTTTTCAGAGTTCTCTCTGAATAATCACACAGGGTCATATATCACTGTGTTGATTGAGAAGAGAGACAGTGTTGCAACAGCAGTGAGAGAGGCAGAGAACAGATCAGATATAGACAAACCAGCTGATAGAAGAAATGACATCTTACTACAAGGTACAGCTACTATCACTGCGGTCATAAGAGATGTAGAAGAGGAAGAAGATGTGATAATAAGAGTAATACTTCTGCAACTCATTGACACTGCTGTCTCTGTCTTTAGCCTGGCTTTCTTGACAGTCACAGAGACTACAGTCATATTATAAAGACATTTATTACTCACTAGAAAACATCAGAATAAGTCTCTTATTATCTCTTAAGAATAATACTCTCATACACTCACTATTACAGATGAGAGAGAAGAAAGAAAAATATTTCATAGAGAAGAGAAATCTTTTCAAAAAATTCTGTCACTACTGTTAACTTTATCTCTAAAATACATTACTTTTACAGAGAATTTTATATATAGAATAGAATATAATAAGAGATCTGTAAGTCACTTATTAACTATATTTTTCACATTTCAAATCAATATATAAGAAACCTACTTATCATATATTTGATTTGAATGAAGATGAGAAAAGAAAGATCTACACAGTTAGTAGAAAAACTCATCTATTTCTTTATATTATATACAGTATATATACTGTTAAATCAGTTAACAATTATTACTATATAATAAAGATAATTTCTAATTCAGTAATCTTAAGAGCATCAGAACTATGTTCTTAAAGAGAAGAGTATTATTATATTTCTGACTGTGTCAAGATTCTGCTGCAGTTCTACACAGCTCATTACTTTCATGCAGATGAATTCATTCATTCTGCAGGCTGTCTGAATCAGTTTTCAATCACTCTATAACATTATTCAGATATATTATAGAAAGATCTGATTGATGAGTATAAGAATCTCACTTCTATGCAAGATCAGTAGATTACTCTTTCTTAGTAATAAGACACTGCTGAGATATTACTCCAGCTATTCTTACTCATGAAATGAGAGAAGAGTATTCACTCATTATCTATATAGAATAGCTAGATACTGACTTCTCATTAAAGAGGTCAGCAATTCATTTTTCTTCTACTGAAATATATACAAGAGTTACTGTGTGTCTTATACAATCTTCTTAGTATACTAAGTATCATATCTGTGATATTCTCATAATAACTCTGTAGTCTATGAGCTTACTATTCAAGCAAGATAGTTAAGCTCACTTATACAGCTTCTCAAACAACTACTTCTATGTAACACCGCTGACTAGCCACCGCTTTGATTCCGTCACGTTACACATAAAGTGTAAGAATTTGATTTTAAAATAGTAAATTTCTATATGTAAGAGAGAATATAATCTGATGAAGATGATATTATAGAGTAGTTAGTTATTATTATAAAGATCTAACTACTCTGCAGTCTTTTATATATAGTGAGTATTCACTGAGTGATCAGTGATAGACTGACTGTGTGACCGTGTCTGGGACCAGGACCAGATTTTTTGATAGTCTTATTACCAATTCGACTGATCCCATTACATGGTTTTAACATTAGATAGTAGTTTCATACTGTCCCAGTGAGACTTACTATCTACTCTTGTCACATTTTCCAAATGGGACCATGATTTCCACTTCTCAATTTAAATTATTTTTATTGCTTTAAATGACTTTAAATCTCATTTGAGTGTTATCAAAAAGCGTTACTTTTTAAAAAATTAAAAATAGTCTAAAAAAAACCTTAAAATGTCTAAAAATAGTAACTTTATGCCAAGAATGAGACTAAATGGGACCAAATGGGACCACTTTCTCATTTTTTTCAAGTCATGGTTCCATTTTAAGATCTGATATATAGTCACTTTACATGTTTTTTTGATAGCCAGTCCCAGCGGGATTCACGCCAAGAAATGTATGGGACCAGATCAAATGAGACCAAACGTGAAATTCATGGTCCCGGCGGCCAGTCTAATCAGTGAACATCTTGCTTAGATAAAAGCAGTTAATCTGTAGAAAGAAAATTCAACAATTTCTGAGTTTCTGCAGTAAAATATATATAAATTAAAGTATATAATTTGTAATTCTTTCAGTTATGACAGATAGTTACTGATTGATAAAGCTTGAAATATAAGAATAAGTACTTATAGATGATTATTCAGAGATTTGCAGTTTAATATAATATATACTGATAATTACTCAAAGTATTCACAGTAAAAAGATAAATATAAAGATTAATTATATAACAGTATTTAAGCTGAGTTATGAATATTAATCATGAACTTTAGTCTATATCATTATATATAGTCAAGAGCTGCTAACTTTATTGATTATATAAGAGATAGAAATAGAGGTAAAAAATCTGTAAAAAGTAAGATTTCTTACAACTCTTCAGAGAGTTGAAATTAAGACAGTTAAAACTATGAAAAATTTATTGTAATATAATAATTTTGATAAATTTTAATCTGTAGCAGATTCTATAGATTTTATATAATATATTTATACTTTTTATATTATATATAGATATAGTATTAAATAATAATAATAATTTAAAATTCAGAATATTTATAAATATTATAATTACAGTTATATTAAAGTTACACTGAAATACACTCATTACAGAGACTAAGTGTGCTTAACATGATTAACTCAGATTTAATTTAAGTATATTTAAATTCATATTAAAATTTATATCTAAGTGAATTATATATATTTATAAATTAATACTGAAAAAGTATGAAAAAATACTTCTTTTCTCTTTTCTTCTTTAATTATTAGCTAGCTTTATTTACATTCTTAATATACTTTTTACTTTTCTGCTTTTTATATTCTATTAGTTCTTCAGACTGTTTATTTTCATTTAATAGTATTTGAATTCTCAAATTTCTGTGAAAATTAAAGAGATTAGAGATGAAAGATTTAATTGAATAAATAAAAGCTATAAAAATTTCTCTTTTTAACAATGTTTTTAATCTACTAAATAGTCAGAAATATACATAATGAACTTTACCTTTTCTTTCCAGGTAAATATACCGGATACGAAAGACTGAACAAAAAAAGTATTAAATTCTCATTAAACAGCACATTTATTCAAAATAATACTGAAAGTTTATTTGAAATTATCAATCACAAGCCCAAAGTAACTTGAAATAAGAGTATTAAATCTATACGTGCAAATACAATCAATGCAGGCAATCAATTGAGTGATATAAAAGAAGATAAACCTCATTTTAGATTTTCATCATATATTTTGAGATGGCTCAATATTATATAGTCTCTTCATTCAAGGAAAATAGAAATGATACCAGAGAATCTTTCAAAGATTTTATATATGACTTCAAGCGAGACAGTACTGTACTGAGAGAAATAACAAGACAAATGAGAAACAAAAAAACATGCCTCGCTTCAGATCACGCTAACCTACCTAGCTGGATCTATTTGAACTGATCCTCCGTCACACCGTCACCCATGGCGCTGGTGCTGCTAATACCACCAGTGACCATCTTCAACAGCTCATCAACATAGTTAGCACCACTCCATTTCTGGTGGGTAACAACGTCGACCCCGAGCTCCATCTCTGGCTCCTGGACAAGCTCGCCGTACGCACGCATGCCCTGCATGGCATACGCCTTGGCGAACTGGTCGGAGATGAGAGCGGTGGTATGCAGGCCGGCAAGGGTGATGAACTGCCAGCAGTAACCGAGCTCGCCAAGGCGGCGGATGTAGGTTTCCTGCTCGTCACATGGCATGGCAGCCTTCCAGTTGAATGAGGGGGACAGGTTGTACGCGAGTCTGTAGAAAACGGTGTCTGTTAGTAAAGGACAAAACAAAATGGCTATGACCAGTTTGGCGTTCTAAGAGATGCGAGGGTTGAACATACTTCTGTTCGGGCCAGACGGCGTGGACCCCGTCAGCGAACTCCTTGGCCTGAGCGTAGTCGGGGAGCTTGCTCTCCATCCAGATGAGATCGGCGAAAGGCGCAAAGGCTACAGCACGGTTGACAGCGCACTGGGTGCCGCCACGGTAACGGTAGTAACCTTCCCGGGTTCTAGCCGCATCCCAGCAGAAGTAGACATCTACTCCGGTGAGTTCCTTGGCGATGGCGCGAGCCTCCTGGTTGCTCTTGCCCTTGACATCACGCAGGAACTTGTCGATAACTGCCTGCTTGTTGGAGACAGAGCTAGCCTTGATTTGATCAACAACGGCCTCGGAGAAAAGTTTCAGTCCGGCTTCGGCGTTCCATTTGTCCTCGATTTCCTGGAGTTGGGCTCCAGTCTTGCCGGCCTGTTCAGCAGCCATCATCAGGTCGTTGAGTGGCTTGATATTAGGGTTCGTGGAGCCGATAACGAAGGCATGATCCCGGTGATCGATGGTGGAGGTGATGAGGGTTGCGGCTTCCGAATCCGTTCTGGCAACAGCCAAGAGATCGGTTCCTGCAATGGAATTAGTATCTTTCATTCCTTTTCAAAACACTTTTACTCTTTTGCTTGAGTATGACTCTCACCCATAATATCAGCCTGTGCACGGATGGCCACAAGTCTGTTGATGTGCTCGCTAATGGGCACCAGGACTTTGCCAGCCATGTGGCCACACTTCTTCGTTCCGGGAGCTTGATCCTCGACATGAATACCAGCAGCTCCGCGTTCGATGAAAAGCTTGGTCAGCTTCATGACAGCGGTTAAGCCTCCATGGCCGGTATCGGCATCCGCAATGATGGGTCTGAGGTAATCGATGTTGGCAAGCGATGCGCGTTGCGACTTAGAAGCCCTCAATCTTTCCTCGCGCTGCTTGCGATCGTGGAACAACTGAGCCATCCATAATTGGTTGACCTTGTTGGGTACCGTGTTCTATGCAATTGTTAGTAGGACAATTTTCCGAAAATTTTTCGTTTTTTGAACGGCAACTCACCATGGGGTAATCAGCAAGATCGGGGGAAGGCTCGTCGGTTGATGATGCAGTGGAAGAGCTCTGCCAGCCGGAGACGTAGACGGTGTCGAGATATTTCACCATCTGGGTAAGCATAGTAGGTTCCAAGCAGCCATAGGTGAAACTGGCAGTTTTGTTCTGTGAGGTGATTACCAACTAGATCAGCATTCTGCACCTCCGAGTATTAATTAAGGCATTGAAATAAAAGTTCTAGTATACCTTGAAGTGATCCTCGAGGAGTCTCCATAGCTTTTTGCTCTGAACATTTGATGGATATTCAATCTTCAAGTTTCCTCTCTTAGCCACAATTTGCTCGGCAGTGAACGGCCGCTTGGTGTACCGCCATCTCGAATCCTGCCACCATTGTTTAACTGCCTGAACATCAGCCAGGTATTGCTGCTCTTCCTGCTCAATTGAAGCCATGATTGCTGTTTTTTTTACCTATGAATCAGGTTTATGATTCAAAAATTAACAATCAGAAAATAAAATAAAAAGGAAAATTGGTTGACAGCGAGATCTGGGTACTTAAATCAGTTTCACCCGCCGACGTCACAGAAAAAGCGCAGCCAATGGGAACTCACGAAAAAAATACCCCAAGCCAGGTCTCGGCGATTTGCACCTGGGATTCTCAATAACCAAGCCTGGTATTCACCTCAAGCTTTCAATATATTTTCCATTAAGCTGACGCTGTGTCAGTGAGTAGATAAAAGACGGAGCAAGATATAAAAAGACAGCAGAAACATATATCAGCTGTATATCAACGAACATGCGAAGAAATTATCCGCAGCGGCATGAGTTCAACACCTGCGCCAGGCAGGTTTTTGCCCCGAGGCAAAAAGTTGACTTTGAAGAAAAGTGGCTACGACTGGGCACGGTACGGATCCCGAGACAGAGGGCATTTTCGTCTTGGTCCCGGCGAGCCCACCCGTGACACCAATACACCATTATTATTATTGAGTGAGCGTGGAATCTGATTGCTGCGAGGGCAAAATCGACCCTCGGCCATATGGAGCTGGGTAACTAAGTTAGCGTAAACAGGATGGTGACATTCTGTCGAATAGATATATTTCTCCTAAAGATATGTCCGATGCTTTTGCTCTCCATGACTGTTCAAATAACATGGCTATCACAGGCCGCCGATCACAGGCCGTTGATCTGATGGAGGGAATTGCCTCTATATGTGAGCTCTTGAGAAAAGTCTGGCAGATGTTCGTCACTTTTTCTGAGCTTTTACAGAGTGTGTATGGCATCATTGGCATGTATCAAGGTGGGGCTTCACATGAAAAATGACCCTCAAAACAGCCACATTACAGACTTCAATACGCATGTGCTAATTTCTGCTCCTGTCCCCAGGGTCCAGTCTGCGTCAAGCCACCGCAGTACAACGACCGTATGTACAGCCAACAGTCTACACGTATAACATTTACAGATTACAGATATGGTCCATCGGTCCTAAACGGAGCTTCTCCAGATCAAGTATGGGGATAGATGGACACATTCCCTGCGTCGCAAGAACCATGAGAAAGATGTTATTAGTTAATATTCAGGCTTAACTACTAACTTTAGTGCTGACAACCTGCAGGTCAACAGATAACTACATGTACAGTACCTACCATCATGACCTCTGAGTTTAGTAAGCCTTTGATCCAGAAGAAAGAAACGGAGCCGGGATTATTATATCAGTTCATCTCAGGGCGCATACTCACTCAGTAAGCTGTTGCTACCCCGGCCCGGTTTCTTGAGAAGTGGAAAATCCCCAACCGGCGTTTTACATTCGTGGTTGACTGTCCTGGCACGATCATCATCATCATCATCATCATCATAGACCACTAACAATTGTGGTCACTTTGCATCACCTGCCAGGAGCACGCGGGCAGGACTCTATGCTGAGTTGACCAAGAGGAGTGCAAAATAACAACCCTCATGATAGACATCAACTGCGATTTCTGGAACTCATCAATTACCAACACACAGGAGTTCCCAATATTTCTACCCTTGTGTGCTGTCTTGTCCCGAGCTACCCTGAAGACTGAATGAAGGCTGAGGGAGGGCGGAGATTTGGCTGGACCCTAACCCTTAGCTCCCTTGCTGCTGGCTCTAACAAAAAGTGAAATGGCCGGAGATTCGATGTTGAATCTTCCCCGTCTGTCTCTCCGCCGCTACCACTCTACTTCAAGTTGTACGTCTATCGGCTCCGGAAGAATGTCGTGTGCACAGAGGATTGGTTCGGGCATACTATACTGGCTTTTGACCGTCTTGGCCCAGTTGCGTAATAACAAGCATCAGTCTTGCTCACTTTCGTTTTCATGGTATTCGCTCTGACGCTGCATGAAATACGTCTTGAATTGAATCATCATGCTCAAGTCACTCTAATAGTTCACTTTTATGACCAGGGTGTAAACTTGAGGTGGGTCATTCTGGAAAGGCACATGAATCTCAGGCTCGATTGTACGACAGCTAATTAATTACAGGAAGTCAAAAACATATTTTACCAAATTTTATTTTATTTTATTTTATTTATGAAATAGGATAATAGTCACTTGTAGAAGAATCATGAGTTCGTGTGTAGCTGAATCATGCCAATTTTACAGTATATCTAACCCCCTAAATGCGGGTATGGAACGTTTGGGGGTGGCCATCCGAAGGGGCAAGATTCTTCCAACAATACATATTTAGACAGAAAATCGAATTGGAAGTAAGGTTGGACAATGCAGCTAATATCGTACTGCTGTGGCTTTGCTGAAGGTCTCGTAAGGAGTGCATGCGCCCAGCGCACGTCTCATATGAGCATTGAGGAATTCAAGACCATACACGAAACTTGCATTAACCCAACCAAATCTGTCGATGCAAAAGCAAAAATGATTTAGTTGCTTGTGAAGGAAGGGGAGGGGGGCATTTGGAAGATAGGTCAATCACTCACCCTTCTCGCGACACTCCCTTAAAATCTCTGCCTTGATTCCCATACTCAGCTTCAACCTTATGGGGATCAATGGGCCGCGTGACATCATACTTTTCCACAACAGCGCCGTTGAAATCCACAAACGCCTTTATGATCATGTAGAGCCATTTGTATGCTAGCCTCTCCGCGTCTTCCTGGTATCCATAACGAATCAACCCTGACCACGCCAGCATCTGCTGTGGCGCCCACCCGTACGGATAGTCCCACTGTCGGTTGGGCCTGTCGAGGCCAATTGGGCCCCTGGACTTCTCAGTTCCCGACACTAGGCCCCCATATACCTCGAATTTCGGGAGTGCTTCAGTGACTAGCCTTGAGGCTTGGCGAGGATTTGCAACCCCGGCCCACATGGTCCAAAACGTGGTGGCACTCTCATAGTCCGTTATCTCCTGCTCCACTGTGTTGTAGTCAAAATACATCCCCTTCGCTTCATCCCATAAATACTTATCTATCGCCGCTTTCCTGCGTCTGGCTCGACGATCCCACACAGCCGATGACTCGAATCCCTGGTCGGCGTTCTGTGACGTCCTGAACTCAGCTGGAATAGGCAGTTTGTCTTGGAAGTGATCCCGGATCGTTATGGCGATGTCGACTTCATATTTATAAAGGAGGGAGTTCAGATCGACGGTAGCGAGATTTGCGCAGACCTTCTCAAGGCGGTAGCTGGTGTCGTGCCCGGATTCTCTTACAGCGCGGTCGTGGAGAAAATATTCGTCTAATTCGGGATCTATGATCTCTCCATTGTTGTAGCCCTCGACAAATTTCTCGAAAGTTATTCCCAGCTTCTCTGCACGCGGCATCAATAGATGATAGAAATGAGACGATTCCGTTTCAGGAGGGACTCCAAGCCCATTTGGCCGGTACCTGGACAGCCCTGTAGCCGGATCATATCTTGGTTCAGCCATCCATACTGAATAGTACTCTTTAATGGCAGACAAAATTGCCGTGCGAAGGAAATCCTTGGCATCCGGCTCCGCTTTGATGCGGTCATAAACTCGAAGAGCCATATCAGTCAGGAATGGCGGTTGGGAGCGACAGAGATAATATGATCGGTTGGCGTTGAGGATCTTCCCATAATGTTTAATGCAGAAACAGAAATTCACGACCATGCTCTTCGCAAGGTCCACTCGATCACTCACTAACAGCCCCAAGGATTCCATATAGCTATCCCAGCCATAGAACTCATTAAAACGGCCACCAGGCACGACGAAAGGAACACCTCTCAGGTCCTCCATCCCGGTATCTGTGTTGGTATATTCCTCCATAGCCAAAGCGAGCAGTCCAGGTTTATCATTCAGTTCCTTAACGTACTCAGCAGTAGGCTCTCCTTCCGGGAGATACTGAACATCGAGGCGTAATTCCGGTTCGGAGTCAGCAATTTGCTTATAATATGCATACTGTTCGGGCGCTCCCGGAGGGACATATATACGGGGAACTGGGCCCGCAGTCCAATCTTTAGGATCCCTTGCAACAACCGCAATATTGGAGCCATCGATTCGTCGCGTAAGTGCGTTCCAGTAGGACTTTTTCACAAGACGTGAGAGTCTTGCAACAGGATTCTCATTCAGGCGTTGCTCATCAAGTATAATATGTTTACGCCCATAATCCTTTGCGAGGGTGAGTTCCTGAAGGAGATTCGAAAGCATATACGTGCCTCGTAAATCGAATCGATTGTAGCCAGACGATGCCGCGGTGCCTACAGCAAAGACCTAAGAAATGTGTAAGCAGAGATTTCAACCTGAAAGGGATAGCTGTCGTTTGACTCACCTTTGGCCCCTGGTCATCTATGGTTATTTGTACGTTGTTATCTGTATCTTCGCGCTCCAACAATGTCTCCAGCGTTGCATCGACATCGATGAGGAATTTACGGCTGTGCACTCGTTCATCTATTCCAGCTATCAGCCTCAAATTGCCGAAAAGGAACAATGCAATAATCACAATCAAAATGCTTACCATGACTTGTGCGCCTAGATGGAACAATGCCGATAAAGTCACGGAGATCAGTAAAGTCGAATCGTTTCAAATTCTGGGCTAAGCTGTTAGCCGCCGCTCAGGAAGATCAGGGAAAAGGTGATATTCAATGAGAGGGATAGCCGGTGGCCATGGATCAAGCACAGGTATCACTCACAGATGACAAAGTCCTTCGATGAGCCTGCGCTTGTCGTTTTAGATGCTCCTCGTGACCGTAATATATATCGGGCTCGGAAAAGGGGTCCGCATTAGATGCTCGCGAGGGACGCCTCCGCGCACTCAAAGAATGCTCCTCTACAGGTACGCTCATTATACAATGCTAGTCATAGAAAACGCATCCGGAGGACGTCGAGCACAATTGACTCCGTCGGAGCAACGGAACTTTTTTTCAGAGATAGCTTCAACTGAGCCAGATGGCGGAGCGGAAACTTTGGAATTTGGAGATGATATTGTAATGGGCGCCGCGAAAAACAATGAGATATGACACTTGAAAATATTCCAAATCAATAGTATCTCAGTGCTTGCTCGAGAGGAGTTCGCAGTGTTTTGTGGCCAAAAACCCTATTTTGCGTTTGCAAAGTTTGAGCAGAAGTCTGGTGATGTAGTAAGCTCCTGTAGGTCCACTAAATAGGCGGCGAGCGGTTCTTTGTCCCGATTAGTAGTATTCCTACAAAGCAACTTCTTGTACTGTGTACATTGTGGATCAAGCAAAATATTTTGATACAATTACGATGAACTAAGTATCCGCCGCGCAAGATATGCAAGTCAATGTCATAAAGGCGCATCCTTGCCTGTCGCCAGAGCCCAACTACTTCACAACGGTGACATATCAGTGACTACAGAATGTTATAAAGCCCCTCACCAAGATCAAGTAATATCAGGTAAACGTACAATTTTGGGGCTGCGTAGGGAGAGAGAACAGTGTTTAATAAGAGTCATTTGTAATAAAACATACATTATACTAGATGGAAAAAACCCCAAAAAAGACGACCGATCGCTTCTATCGTTTCTTACATTCGAATGATCTACAATTTAGCAGAGATGACACTGCCTCCATCAAGCGTAATGGTTGCACCATTAACATATGACCCAGCTCTACTACTGAGGAAAAGACAAGCACCAGCAACATCTTCTGGACTTCCAATGCGGCGCAGTGGAATGCCGGATTCTATCACGTCCTTATATTTCTTCAGCGTCGCGGCCATCATTTTACTTTCGAAAGGCCCGCAGGCCAGCGTGTTAGAGCTATAGGAAAGGGTTAGTAAGTTAGAAAGCATGTGCACGTATTACTTAGAAGATCGTAAGGGACTCACGTTATATTTCGCTTTCCAAGGTGGTTTGCTAGAACACGGCTAAGATGATGTAGGCCAGCCTTGCTCGCGCTATATGCGAATGTCTCGAGAGATGGGACTCTCAGCCCATCTATACTTCCAATGTTAATGATTCTTGCGGGGTCGCCTGCACTTGCGGCCTTTTCGAGTAGCGGAGTGAATAACTGCGTGACTTCGAACACGCGCTGTAAATTCAGGGTCAAGACTCTAGTCCACGCAGAGGACGGGTATTCGTCGTAAGGCTAGATACGGTTCCTGATAAGCATTGGGCTCGACAATATGCATCCGCAGCTCCGATTAACATATTCGAGCTTGTTGGGCGGCTGACACAACATGAGGGTTAATGGGGCATTCTTACCGCACCCCAATTGGAACCCGCATTATTTACCAAGCAGTGCAATTCTATAATTCCATGAATTAGTAACGAAGAAGTCCATTTGAAAAACGGGTCGTTTTGATATCGGGCTTGGCTAAAATATAGTATGCAGAGATGCAATACCCGCGCACCATTTGAAGAAGTACGAGAGTAACATACTGTTTTCTCTCTTCGCAAAGTCGTCCCGGAGCTTTTTGCAGTCATCCTCCTTGTATAAATTTGCAGGTATGCTAACGGCTTTCCCCTTCCCTAGAGCATTCAGCTCTTTAACGGCATTGTCGCAGGCTGCAGCGTCGCGACCGGTGATGTAGACAGTAGCGCCGTTAGTGACAAATCCCTCGGATATCATACGGCCAATGCCTTTCGCACCGCCAGTAACGAGGACGACTTTGCCCTGTAATCACATCGATGTCATAAGCTTCCCTCCTAGGTCTGAGTTTGGTGTGGATTTAGGCTTACCTTAACGTCAAAGAGGCTTGAGGAGTCCATTGTAACTGTCAGAATATACCAATGCAACAGTGCACCTTTCTATGCTGTTTGGAAGAATATATAAATCAACGGCGGAGCCGACGAGAATATCTTCACCGGCTTTGCCTTGCCGACGAACCACTAGGAAAGAACCGAGGCTGTCGGAAGTGGTAAAATGATTAATCCGGTGCTAATTTCAAACCAACATGATGAGCTAGTTAACGGACCTAATAAGTTAACTAGTTAGTTAATTGGAATCAACTCAAAAACAACCTAAACGCCGACCACAGGTACTACGTCTGCGAACCGTCTATAGACCGTGTCTGACAGCGTTGCATGGAGTTACGTATCTTCCCCGCTGCGTTCTCAGCTACTATCAGGTCCTCTATTTAAGATGGAGGAACTGCAAGCTAGACACCGAAAAGAATTGAAGGACCTACAGGGCCGCATCACTCAAAAGAAGAAGTCCGCTACGAAGAAGACACGCAAGGGTATTAATGATGAGTGCGAGCATCTCCAGCGTGAATTGCTTGACAAGCAACATGCTGAAATATCCACCCTCCTTCGTGAGACGGAGCCACTCACCGAAGATCTTGACAACCTCAAGCTAGCCAATGGTGCGGGGCACTCAGAGGTTCCCACGACGGACGATAACAACAGCTCGAATCACTCAACTCCTCTTATTCCCACCTCCGATACTCAGGCCACCTCATCAGAAATGCCCAAAGACACGCCTAAAAAGAAACCAAATCGTCAAAAAGCCCGGTTAGCCCGGCGCGCAGCTGAACAGGAGGCTGAAGCTGCTAGAGCTGCAGAGGAGGCGGCCAATCAGACAGATCATAGGGGCAACGAGAGGAAGAACATGGATGCAGTATTCTCTCGCCTTGGGCTAAAAGAGACGGAAATTCGCCCTGACGGACATTGTCTCTATGCCGCTGTTGCTACTCAACTTGGGGACAAGGGTATCCCTCTAAGCGCGTCTCCGTCAACTAAGGAAGGGTCAGGCCCCAAATGCGGGTATCAAACCGTTAGAGATACGACGGCCAGATATATTACAAACCACGCAGACGATTTTGCGCCATTTATCGAAGAACCCTTGCCTACGTACGTTCACAAAATAAGAGCCACTGCAGAATGGGGAGGTCAGCTGGAACTACAGGCTATTGCCCAAGCATACAATGTCCATGTTAATGTTGTCCAAGGAGATGGACGAATCGAGAAATTTGAACCCCAAAATAACAACAAGGAAGACAACAAAACAATATGGCTCGCCTATTATCGACACACGTATGGATTGGGGGAACATTACAACGCCCTAGCAAAAGCTTCTTGAAGATCAGAGTATTTAATTTGGAAATTATACAGAGGGGAGTTTCCGAATAACGCCGAACAAATGACGGCATCAGGCCGACAATTCCACAAACCCCTTTTTCCATATTAATCTCGGCGACGCCAAATTGCTACCCAGTCCTGGACATTTCCATTATCGTCTTTACCGACCTCGTGTGTCCTCTCTGGTTGCCAATGGGCGACGCGCTCCAGTCCAGCAGGACTCGCCTCTTTCAACGGATCCGTTTTAATATGGCCGTTTTCATACGGAATATCCTCCCCAGGATGGCTAAGATGTTCCATGTAAGCTGCGGGAGGGGATGCGAACGGAGGCCCTGCTGCTGCTGGGTCCTTCGCAGCAGGGAACTCGAGACAGATTAGGTTTCCATTTGGCGACGGCGCCAGCAACTGGGTCATACGGGCGGCCCATCGCGGGCGAAGGGCCGGGTTCAATGCACAAAAGAACTAAAGGACAGAATGAATAATATCAGTTTCCATATGTTAGACAGGGTTTCGTTATCAACTCAAATGATCTACTATCCAAGCATATCCTTATATTATAGCGTTCATAACATGGGATAAAAGAAGTGCCTGCAGGGGGTAATAATTATCTTACCGTATAATCGTAAATGAGATCAAACCCTCCCTCCTTAACACCAATCGTCTCCAACCAGTCATTCTTAAAAAAGTCCCCTTGAACAAACGTAATTTTCCCTTTACCTATGCGCTGATCCTGCACTGGAATATTATCCCCAACCCTAGCAGCTTCCTGGCGGCAAATCTCCACAGCAGTCTCACTGTATTCTAACCCGTACGCATCATATCCAAACCCTGCCAGCAGGAAAACATCAAAACCCCGCCCGCATCCGGGAACAAGAGCTCTTTTCCTCCTCCTGCCGTTACTCTCTGCTCCCCGCGGTGCTGCCGTTACCTCGTCATCTTGAAGTGCAGTTCCCAGGAGCCCGCGGCGCTGGAGAAGGGTATCCTCGAGTGCGGGGTTATACTCTCCGCGATCCCAGGGTGTGGTTTCGTTCTTCCAGAGCTCATCCCATGCTTCAACCTGGTTTTCCAGTTGGAATTTGGAGAAATGGTCACTCAATTTGGGTTGAGTTAGGGATGGTTTGGACATGGTGGAGTCTACAGGCGTAGGTGGCGGGATGAATGGCGGGGTATTGGATCCGGAGCTCGTAGTTAAGAGCAGTAGCGGTAAACGTGAACGTGAACAGTACGTATTTTCGGTCAAGATCAGAATGGAATTTGAAATTGCGAAGCCGATGACAGAGGATCATTGCCTGGTTGATACTGTCCATGCATTTAAGTCCGCTCCAACCGGAAAGCGCCTCATTGGTGGTAACTATAGAGTGGATGTTTGCATCTGTTTGTTTTGTGTCGCAGACCTACCTATAGGTACCTGAGAGGCATATGTGAAGGTCGGAAACCTCGATCAACCCTTTGTATGTGATCTTGAGGATATATTTTTTCTAGTATAGGGACTGTTTTAGTTGAGCCTACTTCAGATTGACTGTTGGTGAGATTGTTCCACGGGCAATTGTCCTTTTACGGGTTTTAAAATGGAAAATAGATGCACGGGTTACTTTGCCGAGTGAATCTCAACCATGTAATATAAAGCAATGCATTGATGCATTGATAGGGAGTCAGGTGTCTAAGATATAATGGAGATAGATACCCTACAAATATTTCAGTATGATGCTTCATTGCCTAAGTGAAGAAAACTCCGTCTAAGGATCACAATATTCTGAAGCGCACCCTCTGCTTGGAATGGTTAGGCTATTCACTGGGCTGGGAAGCAATGATGCGGGTATATCTGAAACAGTGAGATTTTTTTCGGTGAATTGTAAACTGATTGATATAACTTTATATGAAACCTAACCACAAAAATTGACGCCTACAGCTGGCAGTGTGTGATTTATCTTAGAATACTATTCAACAACGATTAGAAGAAGAGTTATTCCACTAGAAAAATATAATAAAAAGTACGCTGACGGCTTGAATTGCTCATGAATGACCGGGCTGGGGCAGTCTCAAGTATCGGGCCGAAGGGATGCCGATTGTTTCGGATTGTCACTAGCTTCAATAGAGCGGGAGCGCCAGCGTTAGTTCAACAATTCGAACTATTTATATAGAGTACTCTTCCAGCATATATTATTTTGCTAGACAAGCATTGTTCGGGTTGGAGTGCTAAGCGAGATTCTTGAATAAATAATACACAGGATATGTCATTGAAAATGACGACCGTTCTTCCCCAAACAGATGGGCCGCGGTTGTCGGCTAGTTATTTAGTTACTATTTATGCTTTGAAGTCTTGGGACAACCGAAGCGCTGTGATTCGTGGCTTTTCGGCCAGGTTAGTTATGCCGGCATTGGAACCAGGCCAAGCTGTTTTTCCAGCATCAGTTTTGTGGGCACAGCATTCAACTGTCACCCGCAAATGGTCACTCGGGCACAAAGGACAGCAGTCAGCCTGAAGAAACCTTTATTGGGAAAACAATCGCTGCTAGCGATAGATGTCTTGATAAATTCCTCCGGACTGGTCCGCTTGAGGCGTCATAATCAGTGGTCGGCTCTCGGCAATCGGGGCATGAAAGGGAAAACCAGTTTTTGGCTCCGTGGCAAAGCACTATCTTGCCTCCAATTCGTTGGCATATCACCGAAAATGGTGATTTCAATCTGCTCTGGCGAGGAAAGGATGGCAAATTCAGAGCACACCTGAAATCGCCGGAGCGTGGAGAACGCCGATACGAGAGAAAATAATCAACCGGGAATGATACAACTGCCTAATACGAGGAAAGCTGGTTGCTGGTCTGGAAAGTCGAGAAAATCCCTCTCCTAGCCGCTATTGAATCTTTTCGTCCGGTGAATTGGCGGGATTGAATCTACCCTACCGCTATCTCGGCTAGGCCACTCTCTAACATTCCCGAGTGGAGAATCCGCCAGCCGAATGCCATGTTTTTTATCCTGGCTCGTCTTTCCTTTTAAGTGTCTTGATTCTTTTTGTCCGAACTCATGACGGTGTCGAATACTAACAGAGACCTAAGCCTCTCATCATCTGTGAATTTTTTTATCCCATCATCGTGATATGAGGATGGTTGGGATGTTACCATCAATTATACCTGGTTATACTACTCCCAATCGCATTTCTGATTCTTACGGTCCGTCGCATGGATGCATCGCCGCACAAATCTCAAATTCTTGCCTCTTTGTATGAGATATTGCGGCGTGGAAAGGGCAAAAGCTTGCCCTCTCATCTATGACTCCACCGAGCGCCGCTGCTGTATCTTTGTCAATATCAGTCCAGTCATACATCGGAGCACTCACATTCTTCTACCCCTATTCTATTTTGGCCTGTTCATCCCCGCGCTTTGAGTCTGAATTCCGCCAACCCATCGGAAGGGGAACGAATCAATGGCTTTTTCCGAATCTGACGGAGAAGTGAATCGCTTGCCAGCCCGGGAATACGAAACGCCAGTGACAGAGAAATATCACGGAACAGCGGATCGGCGGGATGTCATTGGCGAGCAGGGTCTACCAAGGACAGACGATATCAGGGGAGACGCCAAGTCATCAAGGTCCAGATCTTGCTCTCGAGCAGAAGATGGAGGTGGCAATCTCGCAACGAGACAAGGGACCAATTCATACTCTGCTGCCGTGGTAGTTCCCAGGAATAAGCGTCGAGGCCTATTAGGACGTCTCGCGCTGCTTCCTGAAGTTGAGGATCCTCAAAAGTATCCTCGTAAAACAAAATGGTTGATCACGTTAATAATTGCAATTGCAGCTGTGGCTGCACCTCTCGGCAGCGCGATATTCTACCGTTAGTCTTTATTCCCCTAAGCCGACTTCAGACACGTTTTTTGACGTCCTTTTCCTTTCCAGCTGCCCTTGGGGAGGTTGCGTCTTCCCTTAACACAACCCCCACAGTTACCAACCTTTCCATTGCACTGTATATGTTGAGCATGGGCATATGCCCGCTATGGTGGTCCACATTCAGCGAAACCTTCGGTCGCCGTTCGATATATATCATATCATTCTCACTTTTCAACGTATTCAATATCCTATCGGGCGTCGCAACCTCCATAGAAATGCTTATTGTTCTACGGTTATTTAGTGGAGGAGCAGCAGCTTCGGTTCAGGCGATTGGGGCGGGGACAATTGCAGATATTTGGGAATCACGAGAAAGAGGCAGAGCAATGGGGACATTCTTCCTTGGACCGTTGTGTGGCCCTCTGCTGGCTCCGATTATTGGAGGCGCAATGTCACAGGCTTGGGGCTGGAGAAGCACGCAATGGTTTTTGACCATTTACGGAGGCGTATCACTACTGATTCTCACTTTCGGGCTCCCAGAAACATTAGTTTCACGGAAAAACCTGGTCGCAGAGGTAGAACCAAACGCTGAACTAAGCCGCACTCTCAGTCGAGTGTCGTCTCGCCAGGTTGCGCAGAACACCGCCAAGTGGTTGAAGATTTTGAGAATGATTTTCGTCGATCCGCTTCAGATATTGCTTTACCTACGCTTCCCGGCTGTGTTGTTGACTGTGCTCTATAGCAGCATCACCTTCGGGTCATTATATGTGCTGAACATAAGTATACAAACTACTTTCAGCCAACCTCCGTATAACTTCCCTGTACTTCTCATAGGATTGCTATATATCCCTCATTCGATAGGTTATATAATTTCTAGCATTCTCGGTGGCATGTGGATGGACTCCATAATGCAACGCGAGGCAAGGAAGGCAAACAGAGTTGACGAGAGTGGGATGTACATCTACCGTCCCGAGGACAGAATGGGAGAAAATGCTTGGCTCGGGGCGTTCATTTATCCTGCAGCAATGATCTGGTATGGATGGACCGCGGAAAAACATTTATTTTGGGCGATACCAGTACGTCCTTAACCAATATTCCCCGTATTATTTTGTTGCCTTCCATCCTCTGTAACCAGGGTCGAAAACTACGCAAAACTAACCCACCCTATTCAGATAATAGCCAATTTCTTCTTCGGTGTCGGCTCGATGATTATATTCAGCATGTCAACAACGATGTTGACTGAATTCATGCCCCAGCGTTCATCATCTGGTGTTGCAGTGAACAACTTCATGCGTAATATCTTCTCATGTGTCGGAGGTGTCGTTGCCGCTCCTATAATTCACGCCATTGGGAACGGTTGGCTATTTACGATCCTGGCCCTCGTTGCATTTGCTGCCGGCTCAGTGATTTGGGCGATGAGACGGTTTGGACCGCGGTGGCGGCTCTCTATGGAAGCCAGAGTGAACTGAGCCGATGGGATGAGATGGTTCTACTTATAGATGATGGGAGGAATTTCATAGATCAGGAGAACAAAACATGCACACTTCGTTTCGTTGTTTTGTTTTAGTACAATTAATGTGTGTCAGTGAAATTGCACTGCTGCGATATGTAACAATTTGATTCCCAGGTGCAATGGACTACCGCTAACCACTTCTCCCTTTGGCGCATTATTGTTTGGGCTTTTTCCACATAAGAGAGAATTTAAGGAGATAATTACCGCTTGTCTCTTACCAATATACTTCGTCCTTCTCTTTTCAATTGCGGGAATTCCGTTTGAAAACTCTCAGGGTCTTAATGTTCCTGCGCAGCCCGAGAATGGATATAGGAACCGGGAATGTGGCATAGAACCAAGCACGAAAATAGAAGGCATAGGTGAGCCACGACGTAGCGGAAAGATATTTACAGAGGATAAAAGCCAAATGTGGCTCACTCTCTCTGATATTAACTCTCTTATTTATCAGCTCCTATATCGGCTCAAATAAACCTGAAAAATTAAACTTCTTGTCCGGTTAACAAAAGGCAATCTAATAAAGTACCCATAAATATTGCCGCCAGGTACTAAGATACTTTCAATCTGGGCTGGTGATGTGTGAGGTTGATTTAGAGGTGAGTGAACCTAGCCTCTCTTCACTCGATCTTATCAATCCGTGATAGCTACTGCAGTTAGCCATTTCAATCGAGACGTGTGGGACAGTTCAGAACCCTCAGGCCTTGATAATAACTATATTTGACTAATAATAACGTTCATAATACGGAACGTCAATCATTTACTTGAATATATGTAACTTACACTTTGACCGTTTTTTTAGCTCGATATTTTGCCTGGCTGGGTGTTAGATTCGGGTTATGTTATCCTGATGGCGCTGGTCTAGTTATTTATCTATTCAATACAGGGGTGATCAGCAAAGGTTGTTTGCTCCAAGTAAGCAAAATTAGAGGTTTAATCTAAATAATATTAGCTATCTTATATCTTCACGAAACAAAAACCCCTACTGCCACAAATGACTCTATCTAGCATATCCTTCCCCACGCTTGCGGAGTGAAAAGTTAAGCCCTCTTATCATGAAGCACAGTTCAGTTCAGATTGGAGAAAATAATTTGCCGCAAGTACAGTGATTGGGTCAGACAAAAGCAGAACCTATAATGCGATTCCGCAATGGTTAGGATTGGCTGAGTAGCGGTAAGCTCGAAGAGAGAGTGCAATGATGATTTGTAGATACCAGCACACTCTGCTCTCGAGAAGGCGAAGCGTGGAGTTCATGCATGTCAGATCGAACATGTTCACCCGACGGGGGAGTGGGTGGTGAGGCAGTTGATGGGTAGGAAAAGTTTTTGTGGTTACTTCCTGATACCACTGCTCTTTCAATTCGTGAGATCATCATTTGGTATGGTAGGATGTGGAGGGAAGATGACGAGACCTAACGACACAGTTCGCTATAACGATGGGTGCTCGGACCCGCGAAGGTATAAAATTTGGATTTCCCCATTGCTTCTCAGCTTGTGATTTGGCGGGGCTTAGTTTCCTTGCGCCCATCTCCCACTAGAAAGCGAGCTTGAGGTGATGGGCTTGCTGGGGATGCATTATCATTACCGATATCGTTCGTAATGGCAATAGGGGGACTTTGGTCAACAATAATGCCTCAGGCTGCTAGTTATCACGGGAAGATAACAGAAACTTGTGGATTACCGGGAAGGGAAACGGATGCAACGGCATTGATGCTCCATCCCACCAGCGGGGCAGCTTTTCTTTCAATTAGCTTAGGATTTCGGTGGAGGGATCTATCATAGCATTAAGAGAAAGAAGTTAATTAAAACAACAAAGGTGGAGAAGGGTAAGAAAGGTGTGGATAGGTTTTGTACCCTCTCAGGATTTGTTTATTATACCTGAACTGCAAGACTAAATAGTGAACTGCAGTTTTGTAAATACAATGGGGATTCTCTGCCTTTCTGGTTACTGTTTAAGATTGATCGTATGCAGGGCGTTGCACAATCAGATTAACTACTCAAGGACAAAAGAGATTAGGGGCTAACGCATCTGAAATATTGGCAGGATATAGTTACCTTAATCCGTCGCGCCTCAGTCCATTGGTTAATTTGGCGGATGACTCGAATCCAGAGAATGAAGCTGGAGAAAACATCCAAGGGCAAGATGCATCACAATCCAACCAAGTTCAGGCTTTCCGAACGCAGAGTGACATAGACAACGGCGAATATCATCTGCCACGTTGATATAATCGTTTGGTGAAAGGAAGATTTGTGGCACGAAGCGTACCTGTACGAGGCCAAATCAGGAAATCATCCCCGGCCAGGGGGGCCTTACAGGAGTTATCAAGCATGGTACTATTTTTTATGTCGGGCTCTTGTAGAGCCGTTTCCAAGCGAGGGATTGGTGGGATGCATTGGGAGGAGGGGAAGAGGGGAAGAGGAGTTCTAACGTCTGCCTTCAGAAGTTTCCTCAGGAGTGTATGGAGAGGATTGTTTTGAGACCTAGAATGCTTGTCTGAGATATTTATGCAATGGCATCGGGCGGGTACGTCGACCACCTCATTTGATCCCCTGCTCATTGGAAGAATAGGTGTTCATGAGTAGCCACTGAGCTGGAACTTGCGTTGAAATGCACATATCTGCTGGTCGTTAGGTCCAACTCGCCATTTCTTGTCTTGTTTGTGTCCCCCTTGGGGCAGCGTTAAGTTTGGATGGAATGGGAAGTTGTTGCGAGCCGATATGACAAAAATGATAAATTAAATGGCTTTGACCTGAAAAGCGGCTTATTGTTGAGCAAAACGGGATTTCTAACTGGCTCAACTGATTATTTTCAATCATCGATAGCCAGACGATGTCATGATTCTGATTCCATTGACATGGGTTTTACTGGAGCCTCCCCTTTAGATCGTGGAGGCCCAGACCTAACCATGGTTTATTCCACAATAGTGTTTCCTGTACTGCACGCTCTGTTTCAAATTGAGCTATTATATATAATAACTGCCTTTCTCTGCACATATTAGTCGCAGGTCCCCTGTCGGGAATCGGGCACTTGTAGTAGACATTTGGGCGATTTGTCTGATTGTAAGGGCCCCAAGGCATGGATTATTTATAGAAAGAAAGGACCCTAGCAATTTTGATTCATCCTATCCATGCCTTTGGGTGGCAACTATATCGAATATGGAAATTCCCAAGAGAACGTCCGGAGAATGGAGTTGGGATCTTCAATTGCCATGTATCTGATGCGGGCTAGTATCGACGGCCAGAAGTTAATATCGCCCTAAGCCTGACGTATATGCGGAAGCCCACCAGCAATATCAGGCCTCAAACTGCAACCCATGAGGCATCCAATCGCGAGCGACGCCAAGTAGGATTGGCCAATCGTTCAACCATCCAGGTCACGGGGTCAGGGCATTGATCTCACGTCGCTCGGCGCCACACCGTCCGCATTCTTTCTTCTCTCTGCTTCGCTTCTCTGTTCCCAATCTCCACTTTCTCGGGTGCTTTGACTGCACTGCATCGCTTCGTCGTCTCCCTTTGGCCCAAGGGTTCGAGTATAGTATGAGCTAGAATGACTGGCCTCACCCAGCCACTATCGATTCTAAAGCCCGCTATATCCCAGCGGGTTGATGGTCGCGTTGCTCCAACAATGACCCAGTTGCCCAGTGGCCCAGTATCCTGCACAGCTCCGCTCCATCAATAGCCCAAACATCCAGGAACAGCTCCGCTCACGTACTCCAATCTGCCCCGCCAGATTCATGCGGAAAGCCGTGAATGGGAATTTCCCCCTCATGGACGCAGAATGGGTATGATGTGATATGTAATGTATGTATGTACATACATACTTGTACATGTACATGTACTTAGTACTACTGTACAAGTCGATGACTGGGGCCAGGCTAGGCCCGGCGGAACGCTGCAATCCCCTCCGCCTTGCTCCGGCCGGAGCCAATTGCTGGAAACGTTGGGCAGAAACCTAAGGTCATTTCCAGGCAAGAAAAATTTACCATGCCACTTGGCTTGCACGGCATTGTGAGGCATCGCCTTACCTGACATTTCTGGCCTCTCCTCATTGCAACTTACTTCCTAAGCCTTGTGTTAAATTAATCCATTGGATAGTTAGAGTACTTCCGTCGTTATTTAAATCATTTCTACCATTTAATTGGAAGACATGAATGTCGTTCTTGCCTCCTAGACTTCCCACAACACTTGTTTTGTCTTGTTTTCTTACTATTTCTAGTTTATGAGTTTTTTTTCTTTTTTTCCTTTTTTTTCTTTTTTTTTTTCGTTCTCCTTATTTTCGGTCCCCATATCCGGTAACGAATTATGCTTACAACATCGTGCATACCTCCGGCTTTCGGGCTTGCATCAGCAACCCACTCTCGTGCGGTTGGTACACATCCGTGAATTCAACCAAAATCCCGTCATATCGTGAGACGTGGCCCAATGGCATATAAAATGCCTACGAATTGGTCGATGAATTTGCCTTCCACCCAGCTGCCTGTGAGTATGTCTTCCTAGGGCTTCCACCATAGCTCCCAATGGAAGATACCCCCTGCGTCATCTGCGAGGGCAGTTCGACATGTGCTTTGTTGCATTCCTGTTTCCTATTACATCGCCTCCTTCGCTGTTCCTTGCCAGCTTCATCCTCTCATATCTTAAACTTCTTTGGCCTTGTCACTGTGTGTCACTCTCTTTGACGACTCGTTTGCTTTTCTCACCCCTCACCTTTCTACACTTTTAAATCAGCGAATGCCCCCGCCAGCGCCCAGTGCCTTCTCGATATTCTGATAGATCATTCGCCAGTTGAATATGGCAAAGAAAAAGAAGGCTAAGAAACAAAACAATAACCCTCCTCCCAGCTTCACGAAACCCTCTATTACGAGTGACAACGATATCGACACCAATTCATCTGTAGACAGTGCTTCCCCGGTGGCTGCGACTTTACAAGATGTCAAAGCCTCCGTTCGAGTATGCAAAACTCCCTCAATTTGAATATCAAACTTTCGACCTTGAAACTCTTCAGTTCTCGAGCATTCCAGTCATTCCTATCTTTGAGAAGGTTGGAACGGTCGACGATGGTAAGGTCACTGCTGACGTTGAGTCAAACAAGGATAAGGGTCAGGATGATCCACCAATTACTGACCCAAGTGAACCTGTTTCATCCCCTGTCGAAGCCTCACTAGCCGAGCTCTCGAACGGTGCGTTCCATTATATATCTTCGTCGCTCCTCTCACTCTCCTCTGTTCTTTTTCTAGTTCTTTTCTTTTTCAATCGTTTCATGCAGTGCTCTTGTACTTGATAATGCATCTTTGATTCCACGATTTTGTTTTGTATTAGAAGCCTCTTGTGGATTCATAATTAATGTTTGATATGTAAAGACACCAACGGAGAAGAGCCACCTCCATCTAACATGATATCCACTGGAAATCCAACTGACTCTGTTCCAGATGTAGTTGACAAGCAGGAGGAAGCAAAGGAAGAGACGGTAGAGAAATTGGAGAAAGAACTGCGTGAGGACGAATTCGCTGAAGATGGGACAGAGGGGAAAACAGAGGAAGCTTCGATTGAAGGTGGCGGCGATCGCAAGGAGGATATACCAGATGAAAATAAACAAGAGGAGAATGGAAATGGGGTAACCGCGAGCGAGGACGTCAGTCCTTTGGCTGATGCCAGAAGTCCAGAAGACGTTGAACCCGAATCGCCCAAGGCCCCAGAGAATGAGCAAGTTGATGCTCCCGGGGAAACTTCCCCAGATATCCCCGAGGCCTGTGATAACGAAGGTAATACAAATATTCTGTTTTTGGGAAGTGCAGTACTGACCAGCATAGATGATACAGTTTTCCCAGATGTCGATCCCGAAGCTGAGGTCGACCAGGTGAAGGCAGAGAGGGAGGCTGAGGCTAATGTTGATGACGATGATTATGATGAAAACATCGTATTGGGCCATTGTCTTGAAGAAACAGAAGAGCCTGTTAATGAACCCAATGAAGGAGACGAAGCAGCCGCTAATGAACCTGATGCACCTGGTGCGGAGGCGCCCGGACCGGATGATGCCATAAAAGCCGACGAACAGGATTCAGAATTGCACGAGGCAGACAATCCTGTTGAAGTTGTATCTCCCAACTTAGAAGCACAAAGCGACCCTGAAGAATCTCCAGCTGTTGAGCCGACTGGAGATCCACAGGTTGAAGATAGCCCAGAGGTCCCAAATGTCGAAGATGCTGTGAATACCCCGGCTTCTGTAGATGAGCACGCTGCGAAGGATCCTGGGGATGAAGAGCCTAACCCTCCAAAAGAAATGCCAACTGAAGATACATCAGTCGAAGAAAGATGTCGTACAGAAGAGGAACCAACTGATAAGTCAACTCAAGAGCCACTAGCGGAGGACACACCAGAAGAAGAACCTTCCAGCGCAGATGAGCCGGCCCCAGCGGAAGTGCCGCCTAGTGACGATACACGTACGGGTGATTCTCCCCCCGAAGAAGCACCAGCCGAAGAGCCCGCTTCACCAGAAGAACCAGCTCCTGAAGACCCCTCTTCTGAGGAACCTATCCCAACAGTAGAGCCTACAGCCGAGGAACCAGCCGCCGGGACCCCGCCCATCGAAGAGCCCGCCGTAGTAGAAGAATCGCTCCTGGAAGAAACGGCAACAGGCGATGCCCCTCATGGAGGAGCTTCTGTTGATAATCCGCCTGTCGAAGAGCCCTCTACCGAGGGTGCAGACGCTGAGAACGCCCCTGCTGAGGACCCTTCTCTGGAAGAGCCGACTCCGTTGGAAGATGCTCCTAAAGAAGAAGTAATTGTGGAGGAACCAGCTACAGAGGAGGCATCACAGGCGGATGATCCTCCAGACTCAAACACTCCGCCAGATGAACCGACTCTAGAGCTAGCTGTTAACGAGGAGCCTCCCATTCCGGAAGTATCAGCGCCTACGGAAATCCCTACTCAGAACGTTCCACCAGACCAGTTACCCGCTGACGAATCGGTTGCTGAAATTGCTCGTGGAAATATTGATGAAGAAGTCATAATCGACTCTCCGGCGGGAGAATCAGCAGAGGGTGTCACATCATCGAAGGCAAGACGGAGAAAACGTCGACATCGCTCGCAATGGGAGCGTGAGAGGCGAGGATCGAAGAGCTCCTCTGACAGTTATGCTCTCCGTCGTCAGAAGGGCGAACAAACGGTTTTTGCCAATCCAATGTCGGAAGCACTTGGCGAAGCAAAGAAACAGAGGTTGTCAAGGTTAAGTTCGAATGAGGATCGAGCCGAGCGACATAGAAGGGAAAGTCGCAGATATAGCGAAGGACGGGCCAGGAGGGGGAGCGCCGCAAAGGATTCATTTGATGCAAGTCGCCATTCGAGTTCCTCTCGAAGCAGAAGAGAGTCGACCTCATTTACCCTGTCAGGCATATCCGCCAAACCAGTTGCACTACTAAAGCTTATGACCAATGGAGAATCCAAATCCAATGGACCCCTGCTCAAGCTCAACGTAAACGACCAGTACGAGAGAAGATCATCTACATCCCGTCCATCGGACTCCTCGAGCAGTTCCCGCCCCCACTCCAATTCCCACTCACATCGCAGACATCGACAACATGGCGAGAAGGAGTCGAGGAGTCGCGAGCATAGGTCACCAAGGGACTCGAGTGATGATGCCGATGCTGAGAGGCGCAGGCGGGAACATCGAAGATCGAGAAGGGCTGATGATCTACTGGAAGAACGACCAAGGAGGAGGGATAGCCATTACGAAGGACGAAGACGAGAGCGACGCGACTCTGACAGATATCGTCACAACGGTCCTTTAGACAAACTGAAGGACAGGTTCATGGGAAACCTCCGGACCGTCCTTGCCGCTGCTGGATAAACAGCCTTATTCTCTTACATTCTACCCGTATTTTGATCCTTTACTAAAGCCCTTCTCACCCCCGTTCAGAGTTCATTCCCGTTCTTGTCATTTCTCATTTCTACAATATTTTATATTTAATAATTTTTTATGCGGACGGTTCGGCTTCCTTTCCTTGTTTTACAATTTCGTCATGTTTCCCTCCGTTTATTCTATTTGCAGGCTGGGAAGTAGGATGAGCATATGTTGTGCAGATAATGGATTGGATCGTCTTTTCATTCGAACTGTACATTTTAGGCTTTTCCTTTCGTGGTTTCGCTTTAGCATTTTGCAAGCGTTTTCATATCTTTGTCCTTTGGCTTGTGTGTTCGTCGTTTGCTATTCCTTCCATTTTGACAACCCCCAACCTTCAATCACGTGACGTTCTTTGTGGGGCAGATGCCTACCTCAATATGTGTATATATTTATCCCCTATCCTCCCTCTCCCTCTTCCCCCCCGCCCCCCCTTCCTTTTTTCCTTACTTCACATATTTCACTTCTTGTACTTATCCACCTTGGTGTATCAAATACTTCCCCTTGCTTCACTTCCTCCTGTCTGTCTTTCTTACTTCTCTCGCACCAAAAGTTTGGGCTATGGCTTTCTGCCATTCCCCGTTGGTGGATTTTATGGCCATTTGAAATTTATAACCATAGCTTCGAATTCTCATTTAAAGGTGTTCCATCCGTGAAATAAGTCAAATCCAATATCTCCCATCATCTCCTTTGCCTTGCAGCCGCTCTCTTCAGTGAAGTGCATAGTTTGAGCGTCCGCCCCTATGGAGCATATGAGAACCTTATCCTAACGAGCCCCCGAAGGTTTGCTTGGAACTGCTCCTTCAGGCGATTGCGCGAGGAGGGCCGCGGTGAAAAGAACGAAAAATCACTCCATACTTTGCCATGTGAAATGTAGATTAAATCTAGTGATCTTCGAGATGTGAGCTTCTCCAACAATCCACCAGTGACAAAGGCCCCAAATTGCTCTAACTACCCTACACTTTCTCTCATCACACACAAAGCAAAACATTCAGAATTATTGGCCGGAGTAAAATTATTGATCCTGAAGGTCTCAGCACTGAGTAGGTGACAGATGGGCACATGACATGAGCCATCGGGTGGCCACGCTCAGCAAACAGCGCTCCTTCACTCTTCTCAGGCCATTCAGGAACCCTGTGTGGAGATCAAGAATATTGTGAATTAATTTTTCTTTACTTCGCTAGTTTAAAAGCGTAGATTTCTGCAGATGTCTATCGTTCGCTTTTCATTCGAAACAGATCCAGCATTCCTAAGTCCATGTTTAACAGCCAATATTACCGCTAAAGAAGAGTCTAACCTGCTCCATCCAAATATTCCGAGCCCCAGTTACGTCCACCTTTCCCCACAGGGAGATTACTTGCAAAGATGGTAGTTTCTCCATCGATATATGAAGAATAGTGCAGAAGTAGGCGGCTATATCAGAACCGATGGAGCTCCACCGTCGAGGAAATTTTCAGGAGGCTAGTATATAGGGGTCAGTATATCCTTCTTATTTCTATTTCTGACTCTTGCTTGCCTCACCCCGATATCTTTATCTCTCAAAATACGTTTGACAGTTTTTCTTTGGGAAGGCCTTCGCCTGTCAGTTGCTGCTTCGGGTGGAGTTTCTGGCATTGCACCAGATGACTCTTCCCACCCAAATATAGAGAACATGGTCTCTACCATATCTTCGTCTATAAAGGTTTTCATCTACTGATAGTGGAGCAGAGCCACTGGCGGATCTATTAAACAATTTAAAGAAGGAGATATCCTAATCAGGCACTGCTCCAGTGGATACCATTGAGAAAGACTTTGATGTCATCCAAGCAAAACTCAGAGGGCAGGACAGGTAAAATAGCATTGATTCGGCGGCCAATTTAGCAGGCAGTGGCTTGGTTTCTGCCAAATCATTGGATGCTTTGGGTACCTGGAGCTTTTGGCGGCCACCACATACGCTGACCCTCTCTGGATCAATATCCCTAATGTCTCTCGTGGCGACATTCAAATCAATTCCGAATACGTCGCCTACTCAATCAATTATGTGTCTGCCATCTGCCAGGGGCAGAACGTATCCATCATCACCTGGCCACAAGGCAGCATAAACACTCAATGGTCACTGAAATACTGGCCCTCCACCCAAGACATCGTTGAGGATTTTATTGCCGTTAGCCCTGACTTTGGCGAAACCATTCTCACCGAGTTCATATGTCCTCCTCTGCAGCGTGCCCTCTTCTGTACCCCAGCCTTCGCCCAATAAGCCTCTAAATCAACATTCCTTGACGTATTGCGTTCCAACGGAGGTGACTCCACATACGTGCCCACCCCACCACCACCATATACTCAGCTTTTGATGACATTGTGCAGCCCATGAGCGGACTTCAAGCTTCTAGCCTAATGCGCGACGAGCGCAACATCTGCGTGACCAATAATGAGATGCAGAAAGTGTGCCCCGCCGTCCTGCTGGAGGCATTTACACGCACACAACCAGTCTAATCAACCCACTTACATGGGCGCTGATCCAGGATGCTTTGCTTTGCTGAATCCGGGCCCCGGGAATACTGAGCGTATTGGACATCTTGAAAAGGAGGTTTGCGATAAGTTCGTCCCTGACGAATTGGATATTGACGATCTCTTTGATACAGTGGGTCTCGTCTTTATTTTCCTGGGAGAAGCGGTGAATTATACAGAAAAGACGAACATGGAACCGGCTACTAAGGGCTACACGGAAATTTGAGGGTTGACAAACAGATGACATTGGTTGTTGTAGAGAAAATGCAGGAGAAGTAATTGATGGAATAATCAGTTATAAACTATATTTTTATATAATGAAACAGTGAAGAAACAGCTTTTGCTTGAATCTTTTAATAACAGAAGAACATTTTTTATTCTTTTCTCTCTCAAATATTTAGAAGATAAGATTAAGCTTTAAGCATATACTTTTTGGCCCATGGTTCCTTTTAACCTTAAATGAGCCTAATATATGCCAGTGAGAATAATAAGATGCAAGTAATATAAAATATGATTTCTACCGCCTCCAAACTGGTATCATAACTCCACAACAATGGGGTCATTCAGCAGTAGATTCTCTGGACCCTCCACTGAAGAGGCATTGACGAATATGGCTGTTCTCGCAGAATTCGCCATTTTCTCCTGGCCAATGAATACCAGTTTCAACCTAGCGAACAGGACACAGCAAGCCATCCAAACAAGAGAGGGCCACCCACCCCAGTTATTCATAACTCCCTCATATATGCGCCTTGTCCGGTCAAGGACAACTTCTTTTTCTCGTCCATTTGCAACATGAATATGGCCAAATACCACAAGGGAAGGCTTAACACGAGCTATTTCAGCCCTTAGTAATGGGCATCCAGCGCGGTGAAAATCGCGCGTATCGAGATGATGGCGCGGTGGCCCGTGGACTACAACGATGTCTGTATTCATTGGGATGATGTCGGTCCAGACATCCTCGTCACGAGCGTGTTGAAATGCAGATACGCCGTATTGTGGTGTCCATGGGCTGCCGTATACGGAGAGAGATCTTATTGCTGGTGGTGTGGATCGATTTTGAAGAGATTCATCACCCTCATCAGCGGCTCGATGGGGCCTGTGATCAGGATTTTTTTCGTACCCACGTTCAAAGTTAAGAGTAACCGACGAATTCTGTATGTAATGAATCGTGCCCCAGTTCAGGTCGCGGCGGGTGCGGGAATCTCCATATCTGCGCTCGGGATATTTTTCCAGAAATCCCTCATCCAGTAATACATCGTGATTCCCCGCCACAACGACTTTATGCTGATGTGGTTGTGAAGATAGCCAACTTAATTGTGATTGGATTTCATCGAAAGAACCATTTTCTGTGAGATCCCCAGCATGGATTAACACATCGCCTGGCGGGACATCAGGTTGTGTGTTATGGGTGTCCGATATACAAACGATTTTGATCAGAACTGAAGGGGAAGGCCGGGAAGCTGAAAGAGTGGATGATTGATGTAACGGGTGTTTATGAAGGAGCTTGTATGCTATTGAACGTTGGCGCCATCCTGGGAGGTTAATGCTTCGGGGAGTAGTGCTGGTAATGACAAAGAAATTAGCAGTTGCACCGTACATATTACCGAAGCGAGCGGGGAGAAGGTAACTATCCTTTGTCACAAAAGCCGCCAACCAATCCTTATTATTTTGTTTCCAACTGGTTCCAGATTGATGATGCCCTATCAGAATTGGTAACAACAACTACATACATTCCGCTAATTTTGACAACGCGCTTAGCCAACAACACCATCTATTATCAACAATCAAAATTAGATCATGGCACATCCTTCAGAACTTTCCCGTACATAGCAGCTTGGATTGTTGGTAGCGAATTAATCTCCAAAGCGGCTAAGTCAAAGGATCTGACCAGATATCTATAGTTATTTTGAATGCAGAGAGTTGAACCTCGTAGTGCAAGCGGCTATTCGAAATATCAAACCATTGCTCACCCCTTAATCATAGGAAAGTATTACGTCCGTAGGGCGCGGTAAATAAAGCATAAATACCAAGCATCAGAAAGACCACTGAAGCAGGAGGAATCAGATCGTACAACAAAATAGTATCGAAACAAATGTCCCACCACACATTCTTTTTGACCAAGTTCATACATCCCTCCCCCCCCCCCAAAAAAAAAAAAAAAAGTTCTAGCAAGAGACGAGTGTGACTCTAAGTTCAAAGGAATCACGCGCCCTCCTCTATCTCAGTCCAAGGCCCTGCATACACTCCTTTTTGACGTACATCCTACAGCCAAGTAGAAAACTTCAAGGATTCAACGATGGGTTGCGAGTCATCGAAAGTATCCGCTTAGATAGAATAGCAACGCCCACGGCCAGCGCGTGGTGGACTTCCCGGAGGTGTGAAGATAGGAGCGCCTAAGGAGGTAATGATACACCTTCCGCGAAACCGAGCCGATGCCCATGGAATTCCCATCCCACAGACCACACATGAGATAGAGAGGTCAGTGCTGGAGAACGCTTTGAACACGATGGCCGAGTTCCTTAGTCAAAGGAAGGAAGAGATGACCGTGACTGCAGTTGGAGGTGTAGTCAATACGCTTTTTCTTCACAACCGCATGTCCACCCACGACGTTGATATCTTCGGATCGAATCTCAATAACAATTCCCGAGTACTGTTTGACGAGGCGATGCAATATGCTATCCGCCGTAGTTCCGCGCCGCTTGGTACAGACTGGTTTAATACAGAAAATCAGATCTGGTTGTCGCCGTCACTTCACCGAGAATTGACTGAAGAGGCAATGCGACAGAATGTAGTCGTGTTTCATCGGCGCGGGCTCAAGGTGCTGGCCTGCACCATGGAATTATGCCTTCTCGGGCAAAATTTCCAGACTGCTCACAGGAGGGTCTCAGATTCGCCCCTACGACTTAGCCGACGCCGTTCATTATCTCCATCAGTTCATCAGCTGTCACGGTGGCCGACCCGTTTCACTGGCTATAATCGAGGGATGGGCTAGAAGATTCAACCATTCCACATCACGGAGCTTCCTGAGGGATAGAGTGAATCCGGAATACAGGGGAATATATCGAGCAAACGGCATTGTTTGAGTTGTTCGGCAACTTGACTCAGAAGGCAAGAAGCAGGTATTTTGGCGGACCCTGAGCATTAATTCTTCTTGCAATACCAATATTGTTGGACCCTTTTATGTGAATTTTGCTTTTCTTTTCCTTTCTTTTTCTCTGCCCCCTTTTTTTTTTTTTTTTTTTTTTTTTTTTTTTTTTTTTTTCTTTCTTTCTTTCTCATGCTCTTCTATTTCAAAAGTTGTTATTATTGAGGCAGCGTAACGAGCGGAGGAGTTCAGAATCGGATCTCGCGCTTGGTGGTATCGGGGCCATGTACGCAGCAAGCATAAATGAAAACGCACCATCAAGAATCAGTGACAAATTGGAAGCCTCACTCTGCTGGGAGTTAGCAAACGCACTGCCTTAGGTAAAATGTATATGTGGAGTCCAGTGGACAATATTTTTCGCGAGAAAGTCCGGGTCTGCTCGTTCATCGGTTGCGCCGGATAAAACAAGTACCATCAAGAGGAGGGATGACTAGTATCTCCTTAAGCGCAGGCACATTCTCGGCCCACAGAGGTGCCTTTTCATATTGCCGCTCACTCTCTGGCTTGTTTCTAGCTTCCTCAGCCTCCTCAACCGACATGAGTGCACGGCCACTTCTTGAGAGCCCAAGTTTCACTCTCGCATTGAAAGCTCTCACAATGAGATAGGTTGTGGCTGCTAGGAATTCGTATCGGGACGGATCATCATCCTTGGGGTCTGGGATATATCGCTAATACGCCACTGGGGCTGCCTCCAGAGCCACTCAAGAACATTCCTATATGCGAATACTTCGTCAAGCACAAAGTACTCATACAGGCGGTACAAGGTATAGAGTGAGCTGTCCTGGAAAATGCCTCTAGGTGCCGCATATTTACGCAAGGCCACAATAGAAGAATATCTCTGGAGGTCTTTGATAATCTCTTCTGGAGGTGGGGGAGGAAATATGGGATAGTCCTCAGGAATAGGTTCGTACTCTTGTGATGCAGCGGGGGAGGCCGATGGTTTCTTATCCCAGGCCCTCGCTTTCCAGGTGTTTAAAATGTGAAAGAGTGAATCAAACATTGCAATTAAAAAGAGCATGCAAAAGTCTAGTAAGTTTTTCAATGTTAGTATTTGATAGAGGGAGACATTGACAAACTGGGTTGAGGGGAGCAAGCGGCCAGTCTGATTAGTCATCAAAATACCCAAAGAATTGTAGGCTACTGGGGCAAAAGAGCTCGATCACCACCAGCGCACTGCTGGTAGAAGGGCCGATCAACCGCGGGACCCCCAGCAAGAATGCCCATTCCACTCAGGGGTTAAATAAAGTGGAAAGTGAGTGACTCATCCCTTGTTTCTGCTTGTTCTACATAGTACTCGCAAAGCACATTTACAAAGTTCAGATTTTCAATAAGTAACTAAATGAGTGATTGATTTCATTTCTGCAGTGGAACAACCTGAGATTTCAAAGTTTATCCATCATGTCATGAACTATCAAAGAAGGACAAGAATTTATGTTCAACAACACAGCATGAACAAGATGAATAACTATCAGAAGCTGGAGAGTAATGACAAGTAATAGGAAACCATAAACTAAAAACAATGTACCTGTGATATAATTCACAAACAGGAACACATAAAATTCACATTATACATAGAAAAAATCATCTCAATCATATCAGGGTGTTATCCTACACATCACACATAACATTTGGCAAGCATGGCAGCTAAAGCGGTCATTCCAACAATTGCACCCCATTGCCGGATGTCCAAATCCATAACTGACGACGCGGCGTTGGGAGATGAAGCACTGGGCGGTGCTCCGTTGGTGGGCGTTCCTCTGGAATTTGCTCCGCCAGGAGAGCCGCCAGGGGAAGATTGTCTGCCGGGCGGAGTACCCTCTCCCATTCCAGCAAGCTTGGCTAGAACAATTTGAAGCACAGACAATTGTTCTCCAAGCGTCTCATCATCATCATTGTCGTCGTCTTTGTCATCACGGTCGTTATCGACGTCTACCCAGTCGTAGCTACACATGTGATATCCATCTTCTTCATCACATTCGTCCACAGCCTCCCTGGCAGAAGCCTCGACTTTCGGCAGAACAAGGTCGTTCATAAAAGGGGCCAGTTGCACTGTGTTCCTAAGGGCCTTGGACAGGATCGCCTTGAAAGTTTTCCGCCGAATATCGCACTTCTCGTCCGGTTCGCAGGCAGGTTCGAACATGATATCGCGTTTGAAGAAAATGCTCGCTCCCTTGAACAGGTCCTCAACGCGAGATTTCCAGGTTGAATCTCCGTTTGTCTTAAAGGGAGCAAACGCGATTAGTTAAGGTGAAATGGCAAATAGATGGATTAGAGGCAGTCCTTACCATATTGTACATGTGAGCCGCGCCAGACAAAAGGGAGCCAACATTAGCACTCCACTGGTCATCATTGATCTCCTTGCAATCAGTATTGCCATCGGCAGCATCAAAAACCTTAAAGTCGTCCGTTAGCAACCCAATGTCCGACATCCAATCCCAGGCCTTCCCCGCCCATTCTGCATAGGTTTGGTTGTTCGTGTATCGAGCCAATCTCGAACTCAATTCAAAGAATGCGCCGTTAGACATGCTATTTTTAACACTATGTCCGTCGGAAAAAGTATTTACTCTCCAATTAAGCCCTCCACGACATTTCTCGTCGTCCCAGCGCCTAGCTTGGGTCTGAAAAACAAGCCTGGCGAACCCAGCCCATTCATCAGAACGAGCGTCAAATGAGAATTCGGCAGCTGACAATGCTGCCAAACCCCACTGGGCTTGATCATCGTTACCTAAGCCGGCAGACTGATTGGCGGGCTGGTAATCTTGATTCTGTCCGGCCTGGGCCAATAGCCCTTGCTTGACCATGTCGTTGTACGATGAATCTCCAGTGAAATGCCAATAGTCCACCAGGCTCCCGAACAATACTGCCGAGTGCCACCAGGTATACGGTCTGGGCAGGATACCAGGCGATTCGCCAGGTTCATTGCCTCTGTAGTATCTCGCTGCACCACGGGTGATAGCGGTTGCAGCGGCTTTTGTAGAATCTATTCGTTGTCAGTTCAATGAATAATTGATTTGTGCTTATACTTTTGGATGATAAATATTAAACACACCAAGTGAACCGACACTCAAATCATCATCGTCTGCATTAACAAGCCCGATCCCAAAACTCGCTGTAGCTGTCAGCAAGGCCCAGAACTTGTCCACCTTCATGATAGCTGCAAGACCCCCCAGGAACGGGAGCAAAAACACTGAATCAAAGGCCAAAGTATAACTAAAAATCGGATTCGCTTGAGTAAAGAGCGTAAAACAAATAGATGATGTTGAGAAGATAGAAATATGAATACGATTAAAAGAGATAAACGGAGAGGGATAGCCAGCTATAAATATTTGATCGCGAGAAAAAAGAACGCCGGTTATTGTTGATAAATATGAAAAATACCTACGTAAGTCCCTACAAACGCTAGTAATCTAACTGGTAAAAATATTACCATCCCTCCTGAACTGTTTAGAGGTGATCCTGGGTTCTGCTAGCGCTTGTTGTGTCTGTCACTTATCTGGCCGGGCACCGTTGAGTCCCTATCGTTTAGAGCCAAAACCCCGAAATATTGAAGCTGCACTGGAGCAATTTTGACTCTGATACCGGAATTTCAATATAAATTTCTAGAGTGTGCAGGGACTTATTTTCCCCGCCTCCGCGGAAGCTGACTGATATCAGAACCCTCAATCCCTATCAATTGGTCGAACACTGGAGAATTGGCAGGGTCACTCTTCCGACAAATCTGCGGACGCGCAATACGAGACGGCTTCAACATGCTGTTGGCTTTGCAATTTGGAGAGTTGTATGTAGCCTGGGGCGTCACTAGGTGTGGCTTGGAAGTATATGTACGCGTGTATGCTGTTAGCCGAGCGCTACAACTTGCTGCAGGTCTCAAATATTTTCTATGCCGAACTACGCCGTACCAGTGATTCGTGCGTTTCTCGAGATTCGTAGAAGAGCTTGTTTCGCTAAAGTGCTGACCTCACTTGCTTGGTTGCGGCGCAGCCCTGCGACCCAGTGCTCCGTAGTTATATAAATTTGATAGAGCGTATGTAAGGTCAAGGATGATAATCATGGTTGACAGCTTAGAGTCTATGCTCTCCCACCCTGTCATTGATCAACTCTCGATCCCCGGAGCGTTGAGTTCCTTTCAAACAATATATTTGCAGGACAGGTATATGATGAGTGCACGGTTCTTCCACCCACTGTCCCTCTGTCCTAATGCCTCACTTCCGCCCATGACATTCCACCCTCCCTTGAACTCCATCCCATATAAACTTGGCCAGGCATACCTGCACATAGTCAGAATGACTGAACCTGATCCCTCCCCACCATGCACATACCCCACAAACCTCAACGAGCCCTCTCTACCTGTCTCAAGAACAACGGGCGCCTGAATGCCACCAGGCACAAGCAGGGGTCTAAGGTTGGGCGACTCTATCATGGAATTCTCTGCAGGAAAGAAGGTACGGTACAAGGCCGCGTCAGCAGAGACGTTCTTGAGAAAGGCTGCTTCCTAGCTACACGCCACTGGCAAACCCCCCGCAAGGTCCACCTGCAGGTTTGACTGCACTGCTGTACGTTGATATTTGCTGAATCCCAAGGGGAGTTTTCCGCGGGAACAGAAGAAGTCGTTCGAGCTGATTAGGCCCAATGAAAATACTGAAGTGGCTAGCCAATATGACGTTACCCCGTACTGCGGGTGTATGAACTTACTTTCTCATGCACGGAGGAGTGCTTACGTATATTTGATGAGATACCCAGGTCAGTGACGATCATTGCGGTAGGTGTGTTGCTCCGGTGGTAGGAGAGGGTGGCCGTGGGCTTGGTTGCTTGCGCGATCTAGCAGCCTGTTTAAAGCAAGTCGATCAAGCAGATGCTTGTAGTTATCGTCAAAGAAAGATGGCTTGTTGAGGGGAAAGTAGGAAGATGCGATTCTCGCTGGCGGTCGTCATCGTGCCTTGAAATAACAACTGCGTACGCCGCTATGATCTATGATGTTCCGGAGCCGTTTGTCCTTGCGCAAAGACAAGCTATTCGAAATAATCGTCAGCAAGCAAAGTTGGCGACGCAGACAGTGGTGAGTCAGGCGAATTGGAATGTTGTCGCATCCCGCGATGAGGGCGATGTTATCGAAAGCGCAGTTCGATCAATGCAGTGTTCTGGATGGTTAGGCCAATGATGGAGTGAAAGGAAAATAAACCAGGTGTAGACCTCAGGATGTAGCAGGCTACCTAATTGAGAAACACTGTTACTTCCTTCTGAGGCCAAAGCGATGTTTCCTGGATGTAAACGCTTGCGATTTTCACTTCGGGTGGCGGCCACTTCTCCTACCAAGCCTATACTCACTGTGTACTTGATATATTGTTACTCTGTCGGGTATAATTTTTTAAAGAACAGTGAATTGACAGTAAATATATATATATGTATATAGATTATGAATTATAAAAATTGGGCCTAGGAATGCGAGGCGTAGATGTCCGGGGCGTCCCAATCATGAAATCAAACTCGGGATCAAGACACAAGTCCCCATCCGTGACGCCACTCCAATCAGTCGAGAAATTCAACGGCATACTAATACCATGGGGATCCCAGCCAACGACATTGCCACCGGGCGTTATCTGGACATGCGGGTGGGTAGGGGTTTCAGGAGGTGGCATCCCCGACTCACCACCACCACCACCAACGCCCACCGTGTGAGCTTGAACAGCGGCCTCAGTCATCCCATCAGAACTATTATTATTGTTGGTATTGTTGATATTGGTATTATTGTTATTGGCCGGTGGGTAATCATCCGTATCGCGGATCCGACGAATGATTTTCGTGAAAAGGAGGAAAATCCAGCCGCTGACGGGCCAGGTGCTTTGCAGTTCCCGCAGCGCGATCATCGACAGCCGGATCTTGACAGAACCCAGTTGTTCGCGGACTGGGTCGCCGGAACAGATGTGTTGTGTGTGCATGGACATGGCGGCGAATAATGCGGGGATTACATGTATCGGACACTGGTTAATGGCAGAGGAGGATAGTACTTCTTCGATGATGCGTACCATTCGATTTGCAGCGTTCATGGCGACCTGATGAGACGTTGAGCGGGAGGGCGATGATGGATTTTCGGGAGTTCTTGATCGGTGAGTTAAGATGCGGAACCAACTGGCAAATATAGAGAATTAGCAAGTCCTATTAGAGTAGCGGGGACTCGCACATAGCGGAGTAGCATAAAGAAATAAATAAAATTTTGGTTGGGCTCACCAGTGGGCAATGTGTAGCATACCCGTCCATACACATTCTCCGCTGCGTGAGAGGTGAAGTTCTGGTGGTAGTCGGCGTTCCCAGTCCAGGAGCCACTCCTCGCATAGTTGGAGTGTATCAGCCTGTGCGGCGAGTGTCTTATCATGCGCATTAAACGATTTATCTATTATCCTTTCGACGATTTTCGATAGCTCGCTAAGAAAAAGAACATATAAAATATCGACTCTCTCCTGAACACCGAAGATTTCTGGATCTGGAGCGGGTTCCTCCTCGAAATCTGACTCGTGGAGCTGTTCTACATCGCAATCGCGAAGGCGGATATGAACAGGCCTCCCCAGCGCCGCAGCTGCGTGTTTGTCTTCAGTGAAAAGCGACCACCAAATCTTTTTCCACAGCCGCTGGTCTCTTAAACTCATGTCAGAATTGTGCGTATCTCTATGCATCCCGATCGTCAATGCCAAGCTGATGGAGTTACCAAGCCAGTGCCACGTATCTTTCTGGTCAGTTGGGCTATTCCACCAAAAGCTCATTAAGAAAAGGGACTGGCAGATTGTAAGTTTATCAGACTCGTAGTCTAAATCATATAAAGCCTTTGTTCTCTTGAACAGCGCTAGTCTCGCATCGTATCTGGACTTAAACCCGGCATCTTTGAGCACTGATACATCGCAATGGCCTGAGCCCATGAACAGGACGGCTTGAAGCAGCAGAAACGAAGGAGGGTTGGTTGGGTCGGCATAGCGGCAAGCAAAATCACGACGGTCCAGAATCGGGTAATGTTTATGGACGTATTTGAAGTAAACGCGAAACAGCTCTCTGCATATCTTGACGCTGGGGATGGAGAAAGCATCCTGTCGCTGTAGTAAATCCATCGTCACGGCATCGCAATTACGGCCTTGGGAGGAAGGGTTCATCCTGGGATGTAGTGGAAGCAGAACGTGCCGCTTTGGAACGGGCTGGCTCTTCTTGCTAGTTTCCTGAAGCAAGTATGTGAGATTGAACGTCTCGCCCAGATAAACCACCTGGCCGCCAGGCTTGACCAGGCTGGGCCGTTCAGGTGAGCCTCCAGCATTCTCTAAGACCTGTGCATAGAGCGTCTCTGGGCCCTCGCTTCCAGATCGAATACGGTCGTGTGGGGGGATAAGCTGCAAACCAGGCCCCTCGGGCAGGGAGCCATCTCCAGCAAGGCTACTCCAGATCGGCGACCCATGGCTGAGACGCGGGAGTTTTGAATGTATACTAGGAGTATTGTTGTTTATTATCCCAGGAAGCGTATGCGAAGTCGAAGGGGGAAGACTAGAAGCTACGCGCTTCCTGCCCCGCTTCGACTCTATGAGCTGACACGAGGTTTGCGCGCGCTCACAGTTGGTGCACGGAATACCCGAGTCGGCCGCATTGCATTTGACTCGGCGGGCATGGCAGCGCTGGCAGGCAATGGCGCTTCGTTGCCGAGGCTTGCCACTGCGGGTGACGCCGTTGAGAGGAGAACTCCGGGCGCTGGCTTCCATGTCGCTCGGGCATCGGATATAGCTCGATCGGGATACCGTCAAAACCGACGCAGTGGAGGGCAGCGCGTTTATTCCGTATGTTGTTAGGCTTTGAGAGTGGTGTCACTCACCAAGTCACCGGTGTGGGGAGATTTGGCCGCCAGCTTGGGCGTGGATGCTAATAGGCTTTGGACCGCTCATTGCCGTGGCCCCAATCAATCGTTCTGTTCTTCTCTTGCGAGTCCATGCCTATTTAATAATATTACTGTGGCCCTTTGGCCAAAATAATGAAGACTGCCCACTACAAAGCGTTGATTAATAAATGAGCTGAGTGAGGAACAACATCGGACACTAATAAACAACCAATCGTTTCCGGGTGAATACCGAAGCAGTAGCCCTCTTAGAGGGTAAGTACTTGAGGACTTTTTTACTGTACGACTATGATTCTTCGAGAAACAGCTGAACTCAGAGCGGCTTTCCAAAGATAATCACTCTATTGAGCGCGAAAATCGCCGGATATCGCCAACAAGTGAGGGAATCATCCCTCAACTTTCTAGCGAGCATGAGGTAGTCGATATTGCTAGTTCCTCTACATATCAAATGAATTTGGAGCCTGATATCTTTCATGATGATGGCATTCATGAACAAAACATAATCTATCATGAGATCCCATCCTCCTGCTTTCTCCACATTGCTGCTTGCTGATCAAGGCCCAATAGATCACCGGGAAAGTCTCGCATTTGAAGACGAAACTGAACCTATCCCAAGCTGTCGTGCTTACCAAGAACTTACAAAACCACACGCACAAGATAAGCCAAGAAGATACAGATATCACCAACACACAAGAGATATTTGAAAATGCATCCACATAATACTATGATTTATTGCTGCTCGGCGACCGTGTCGCCGGTTGAAATGGTGGAACAACCATAATCCGGTCGTGTAATAACCCTACGTTCTTCCGGTATGGGTAGTAATCACCAACATTTTTTGCATGGAAAAGTTAGTTTTTCTATAATATATAGAGAGATTGTCACCATCGCCCGGATGGATAGGTGGCGCAAAGGAGAAATGGGGTGGAAATGGAGTCATGAAGAGAACCATGCAGTGAGCATATATCATGGGTGAAAGTTAACAGGACAGATAACTATGATAATCACAGCCAATAAAACCTATAACTATGCCAGTTGCGTAAGGCTGTTTTTCATCCCTTGACTCTTTTAAGTTAGTCCCTGCTCGTACAATAAGAATCATCAAGTCATGGGCATATTCCAAGCATGGGACAGGAAAGCTAGAGAGTCTAATATTTCAAACTTATCTACATGATCTATGAAAGTCCCCATACATCATTGGTAATAATAGCAGCCAACGTCGGTGGAGGAAAAAGGAAATCACTAGCTCACGATCAAATGCGTGGAAAACGCTGGGTAACCAGGAATCAAGGGAACTAACCCCCTCACAAAGACATGGAAATGAAGACAGGAGGGCTTTGGCTAACATTAATCATTACTCACTCGAGAGACCCTCTCTTTCCTTTATAGACGGTACAACCCGCTCGCACCATCCACACCAACTCCTCACCTCTCCCAAGTACTCCCTCATTAAATACGATTCGGATCCCTTCTCATCCTCATGCTCTTCCACACATGCGCCAACCCTCACCCTCTTCTTAACCTTCTGCTTAACCACCCCGCCCACGCCTTCAATTTCCTGTCTCAGATAGCCCGGCTCCCCACCCCCATGCCCGTCGCCGTGTTGCGGCGGAAGATGACAGTTATCGTAGCCGCCATTGTTACTACCAAGACGATGATTATTATTATGCTGATGACGATAATGTTCCGAATCATCGGACATCCAATCATCTACGTCACAGTCAACCTCCATCTCAATCTCCTCTGCAGCAAGACACCTCTCCCCGCGCCCGCATTTGACTCCCTGCCAGCCTTCTCCCATCCCTGTTCTCAACCCACCACTTAGATAGGGGCTGTAGCGTGTCCTCCACGTCCACACACGTTGATATGTGGTATCATCGGAGCTGAGAAGCTGGCCGCATGGTTGACAGAGCCAGATGGACTCCTCACAGTGGCAGGCCTTGGAACCAAATATATTATTTGTGAACGTCCGTGTCCTGCTTTGTGACAGCGCGTGTGAGCGGTAGTGCGTGTTGTGGTCATGGCTATCATGTTGTGAAGGGACGGAAGGTAAGAAGTGGTCGGATAATGGGGCAGTACGACATGTCGAACAAAGGCGACGAAGTCGAGATCTCAACGATGACGCTCCAATTTGTTTCATAGTGCAGTTCTGATGAACAAGAGTATCAGCCTCAGCCCAGCTTCGACGAGGTAAAGGAATATAGTATAATTTACCCTACAAACAATATACATGCATCTCTGGCATTCTGCGACCATATCCCGAGCACATCTCCCTACCTTCCTCGTGGTAAGTCTGGGAAAACCCCAGTACCTAACGGGAGCAGTGCCACCAGCGGTAGTATCGAGCAAGGGAAAAGCCTGGAAGATGTCAGGCGGATCACCCGAAACAAGGCCCGGAGCTGCGCTGCTATCACTGCTATCACCATCTTCAGAAGGCACATCGTCCAGAGGTTCATTGCCGCACCGTAAGGTTTCCCGAACGAGCTGTGAGCGGTAGGGCAGTAGGTTCGCGCGGAACTGAAGACATGTCATGGCTAACGAATCCAGGGTGTTCAGGTCGACGGACCTGGCAATCTGAACGACCACTCTATAGATAGAAGAGAATGGATTCTTAAACTTAGTATAATCAACACCACTTAATACAAAGTACAAACGGCATGTTCCTGAAGAGCAAAACAGTGAGATAAAAGAAAGAAAGAAAGAAAGATCTAAGATTTCATTTATGCATACGGATAGCAACTCAGAGCAGCTGAGAATCCATTAACGGTTGGATTGCCCCGCTGCCCACCATCATCAACATTATCATTCGCGTTCCTGGCTGCGGGGGAAGAATCCTCCGCTGTCGCGCCATTGCAGTCCTTATCGCCGCCCTTATCGCCGCCCGCGGCACCGTCACTACCACCATGTCTTCGCGAATCCGTGAACATCGAATGGCCAGGATGCTTCAGAAACACAGGATCCGCACCGAGATGGGGAATTCCCGGCGCCGCAGAATTAATGTGCTCCTGCTCATGGCCGACAAACACAACCATAATGCCATAAGTTCAAGTTTTTCTTCCTCGCTGTCTCGGGCAATGGACTAACTAGACTGCTGGCTTGGTCGAGGAGCGGGCTCATCAGGAGGCCGAAAGTAAACAAAAAAGAAGAGGAAAAATGAAGGAAAAGAAGAAAAGAAGAAAAGAACGAGAAAAGGCTACGAAGGGTAGGATGATATACTACCCAACTTGCAACGTTGAAGTTGAACTAAGAACTGCTCTGAGCATGAGCCAAAATATAGAGCAGGGACGGATAAACGGCACGTGACTTGTACAGGAACGGAAATGACGTCATGGGTGTGAACAGAGGTCTTTTTCATCATCGAGATCTATAACCCTCCATAATTTCCCGAATTGATCAATTGGAAACACGGGTTTACGCAGAAGAAAGATGAAAGGGGGGGGGGGGGGGGGAAAGAGGTCTTAGAACAATCAACAAAATTTCAGTGATAGTTAGTGCTTTTTAAATTTCACGGTCAACATTCCCAAGGAATAACTTGAATGAATATTCCTATATATGCTTGACTGTTTACTCAGGTCTAAAGTGTGACGAGGTTTACCGAGGTAGCAAGGCATGACCCCATTCCATCACTCCCTAGCCGACCATATCCATCAAATCCAACCCGTTTGCAGGTTTGAGGGGCAACGAGCAAAAATATTCCATCCTTTGTACCAAACTATCCATCCTTCATTCAGCCTGAAACCCTCATAGACATTCATAAAGTGATTAAAAACCCTGACAATCGCTTTTAAAAGCATTGGAAAACACTTAACTTTGCGAGACGGAGACAGAAACGAACATAAGGAAAAAATTCAAACCAAGTATAAACTTCCAAGGAAATTAGGGGGGTTCCTGGACAAAGGAACCATATATAATCATATATAATTCAATAAATTAGGTGCCGGATAGGGAAACAAAAATGAGTAGCGTGTGTCAAACTCTTCGGGGACAATATTCCGATCAAAGCATATGAGTGTATCGGTATCTTCGACTAATAAATCTTTTTCTTCTCTTGTTTATCATTTCCTTTTCTGTCTAGATAGTATACTTATCTAACAACATCCATTCCCCTCTGGAGTGATGCCTCGAGGTCGTTGGGGTGTCGGGAACCATCATATATAGCCTCTTGGGGCCGGGGATCTTCCTGCTTCCAGGCACCAGTATGGTCCTCCGGAATCGGAACGTTCTGCTGGGCCTGCTGTGCTGCCTGCTGTGCCGCCACGGCCTGTGTCTGGGATCCCTGTCTCACATGTTGTCGGAATCGGAGGACTTCGTCAAGGATCATTTTCCTCATTTCTGGAACATCATCAACAACCTCGAAGTGGAAGTCGAATGTGGTGGGGCATGAGGGTTCATCCGAAGCGTCGTGCCAGATGTGCAAGTAGCGATGCTCAAGAGCCTCTTCAACAGAGATACGAGAAGATGGGTCGAAGGCTAGCATTCTGTCAAGTAGGTCGAGGGCATCTGGGTTCGCGTTCGGGAACAGGCGCTGGAAGGGGATTTTGTGCATGTACGGGAGGTTTCTGACGTATTCTTGCGCACGGGGAGAACCAATGCGTGAAAGGGTTTCTTCATTGGGGGTTCCAAGATAGTGGAGGATTTGGTTGAGTTGGTCAACGTAATCGCGGCCCTTGAAGAATGGTCGACCACCCAGGAGTTCGGCCAAAATACAGCCAACAGACCAAACATCGACTGGTAATTATTTTTTCATTAGCTAATACTAATTAAGCAATATTAGGAATACCAGGGCAGCTTACTGGCTTTTGTGTAGCTTGGAAAGCTTAACATGATTTCAGGGGCGCGGTACCATCTGGTGGCAACGTATTCAGTCATATAACCAGCATTCTCATCTGGGTCGATGGAGAAGCCACGGGCGAGGCCAAAGTCACAAATTTTAAGCTCGCAGTCAGCATTAACCAACAAATTGCCCGGTTTAAGGTCTCGGTGCAGGACATTGGCGGAATGTATGTATTTCAATCCACAGAGTATCTGGTAAATGAAGGACTGGAAGTGAGCATCGGTTAGGGGCTGTCCTGATCGGATGATTGCCGCCAAATCACACTCCATCAATTCTGGCAATGTAGCAGTTAGTATCCCGTCACCATGCAAAAACAAAATAGCTCCACCTACCTTCATACAAGTATGTCTCATTGAAATTGTCTGGTCTTGGAATATCCATGTCATAGAGACACGTGATCTGTATCTTCAGTCAGCCCTATCGCCGTTTTCTGCCCGGATGGGAAGCACGGGCGCTAAGTTAAAGCTAAGACGCACATTGCGATGGCCGCGGAAATGCTGGAGGAGTTTAATCTCACGCAGAGCCCGCTTGGCCAAGATTTTCTTGCTGAATACATTTGTAACCTTCTTGATGGCAACGCCCTCCCCAGTTTGAACATTCGTGGCAGCACTGCAAAGAAGGAACAGGTTAGCTGAATTCAACGCGATGGATAACGACAAAAGTAGGGCGATGGTAAGTATTCCCCGATGTCATTGGCATGTGCATGATATCGAATGACATGTAGCCTCAAGAGGAAACACATCGGCAAAGAGAGAGAGAGGGGGGGGGGCGGCTAGAGAAAGGAGGGAGGGTTAAAGGTAACCGACCAGACTATGCCATATGCGCCTTGTCCCAACTCCTTAGTAACATTGTATCGCTCGTCAACAATAAAATCTTGATTGAACACCTTGAACACTTTACGTCCTTGTAAGTCCGACATATCTGGTCGTTAAACCCAATGGTCTTACAGAAATATCGAATGGATGGGCCAAAGTATATGAACCGGCGGGATACTCTTCTAGTCCCTGTGGTATATTTATCCCTTGTGCTTTCGATTGATTAGACTAACGATTTCAACGAGTTAACTTCCAGGCCGTCGAAGATTATATTGGTCACTTGATATCAAAGAAAGGAAGTTGAGCGTGAAAGAAAGACTCGGAATTGGAGGAGGAAGAGGGTTGGCGGAGGTATGGTATGGTATTTGGATCTGCGGCTGAGACTGCGGAACGAGCGGACTTTTCAGTGCTACGATGACGGTTTGAACGATAATTGTCTGACCTGCTCACAACGTAAAGATGAGTATTTTTTCTGATCAAGTGATGTATGTAATCGAGAGGAGGGGGATTGATTGGTCTGGATGACCAAAGGAGGGGTAGTTTGCTAGGCAAAGGACTGACTGCCAAAAAAGCCAAGCAGCGTCGTCGCAGTAGATCAACGAACAGCGAAAGCGGGCGAAGAACTCAGACGAGATCACTGTGGAGTCGCGAGGAAGAAAGAACGAGAAAGTAATTGAGGAGTGATGCAAAACGAGGGCTGGGAATAAATAATAATAGGGGGGAGAACAACATCAGATAGTAGGGAGTAGAAGGGGAGGGGAGATGGGCTCAGGCGGCTGATCCAGGGTTGTGGGTGGGACCTTCCTCTGCGGCTGGATGATGACTACGGCGAAGGCGGGGCAAACCGCCGGTGGTTGGGCTAATAAGGATGCTCATATCTTATACCAATAGAATAGCATCAATATCCCAAAAAAACCTCTCATTCCAACCTCTTTATCCCAATGAGGAACAAGCAAATAATCGCAAAAATAGACCCAAGATGCAGATTACCTTATTCTATTATTGTTCCTCACTCACACACTCACATACAAGGCCATATCATATTATCATCACACTTATCACACTTCTTCGTAACCCTGAGTTGAACCAGATCAAGTGGGTGGGCAGTTACAGTACTTAGAATTATGATTAAAATATTTGCTTCGCTTGAGAAAGAATGAAAATATTTTATACTGATAACTAAATGACAAGTTAAATCCTTTGCCCTAATCGAAACTTTTTGAAAGCAATCTCTGTAATGAGTAGTTGATTGATATTAAGAATCTAGCTGCTATGTGTGTGTATTGCATTCAGTGAACAACCTCCAGATGCCTTAGGAGATACAACATTATTTCATTTATTTATTTATTTATTTACTTTTGCAAATAAAGAAAGTAAAAGCAAAAGCAAAATTGAATAGTATGAGCTAAAGAGAGTAAGTACTTGCTCAATTGCACCTAAAATTTATACAATGATAACTATAATGAGCTTCAAATTCAAATGAACATGGAATGAAGTATAAAGCATTTACTTTCTAATCCATTGCACAACTAACAATACCTCCAAGCCTAGATAGCAAAGCCTCCTCAAACAATTAAACAACATTTTTCAATTTCACACAGGAACTGCCGCACCATCACCCCTCATATCACTCCCAGCGCTATACACCATCTTCCCCTCGTCAGAATGGCACCGAATAACCTGTCCCCGCCCAAACATCCCCCGCTTGAACCCCTTCAACACCTCAACCTTGTGCCCCAGCTTCCTCAACTCCTCCACAACTGACTCCTCAATCCCTTCCTCCAGGTACACCATCCGCTCCAACGGTTTTCCCCGCTCCGGCATCCCCGCCCCAATACAGATGCGCGGCGCATCCAGCGCCGCCTGTGGTGTCTGGTCGAACGCAAGCATGTTCATCAACACCTGCACATGGCCCTGCGGCTGCATGAAGCCGCCCATCACCCCGTACACGGTGTGCAGGGAGTTATCGGCCGGGTTGGTGACCATGGCCGGGATGATGGTGTGGTAGGGGCGTTTGCGGGGCGCCAGGACGTTGGGGTGCCCGGGCGTCAGCGAGAAGTTTGCGCCGCGATTCTGCAGCGTGAAGCCGCAGCCTTTCGGGATGATGCAGGTGCCGAAGCCGCCGTAGTTGCTGTTGATGAAGGAGATGCCGTTGCCCTCCGCGTCGGTCACGGCGAAGTAGACCGTGTCGCAGTGGTTGTGGGCCGGGCTGCCATGGTCGACGACGTCGGAGGCCCGGTCTGGGTTAAAGAGCTTTGCGCGTTCGGCAAGGTATGTGCGGGAGATTAGCTCTTTGGTTGGTACCTTTTCGATTTCGGGATCTGTCACCCACCAGCTTGCGTCGGCGAAGGCGATGCGTAGACTTTCGATGACGGCGTGCAGGTAGACGCTGGAGTTGTGCTGTTCGGCTGTGAAGTGGGGGATCTTGCCGGTTTTTGCCAATTCTTCCAAAATGCCCAGTGCCATCAAGGCGACGATACCCTGGCCATTGGGAGGGTGCTCCCAGACTTCCACTTCGCCCTTGCCATCACTCTTGGTTCCACCGATGTTTGTTGGGTCGACTTTTAAGGAAATGGCGTCTACATCTTGACTGCCTGTTTCAAGGTGGTATTTCAGATCGTCCAGGCTGAGGTGGCCACCAAGATCTTGGACGACTTTGACAATTGCTTCTCCGATACGACCCTGATAGAATCCCTTTTTGCCTTCCTTTGCCAGTGTTCGGAATGTTTGGGCAAGCGTGGGGTTCTTGAATATTTCCCCAGCCTGTGGGCATCTCACTCCATCCTTTCCATCCGGGCAAGCCTTCAGCATCTCTCTAAAGTTGGGCGATGCGTCACGGATGAGCTTGTCGCTTTCGTGCCACTATTTGTTGGTTAATTTCGATAGCAATTGTCTGGTCAAACAAAATTGAGGTGGGGGAGATATTTTTGAAAGAACACGAAATCATAACAAGGGACAACGTACAAATGACGCAGAGAGTTCGGACACAGGAAACCCCTCCTCTCCCAATTCAATAGCTGGCATCAAAATCTGTTCCAATGACAATTTCCTACTTCCAAAGCGTTCCACTGTATCTATCCATCCGGCAGCAGCACCTGGCGTAGTCACAGCATGTACGCTGGTCATGGGAATTGTGCCGTCCTCACCAGCTGCAAGGCCCAACTCCTTGCGCATCAGCTCTAAGGAAATATTTCCTGCTGAACGACCAGACCCATTGAGGGCATGCACTTTTTTCGTCTTTGCATTATAGAACAAACAGAACATGTCACCGCCAATACCGGTTGAAGCCGGCTCTGTGATATTGAGTGCCGCAGCTAATTATTCTCCCAAAAATATTCATCAGCCATCAACCTTTGTATATGACATAGGGGACATGAAGCGCCAGGAGCATTTTACATACCAACCGCCACAGCAGCATCCTGTATTTACCGTTAGCTGAAAAACTCTACCAAAAACAAAAGGACCGGAGAATTGAAACTGCGGAGGAGAATTTTTTTTTTTTTTTTTTTGAAGAATTGATGTCACTTACCGCCGCATTCCCTCCATCTCTCAGGATCTTTTGTCCTGCGGCAGCGGCTAAAGGCTGTGTGCAAGCCACCATCCCTTTCGTGCTGTGAACAACACTTCGTCTACTCGGGAAGGCCGAGAACCGTGGCTCTGGCGCCGAAAAGACATCACGGGCACTCAAAGGCATATTTATTATTTATATTTCAAGTGGTCTTTGCCAGATTGCGTATCTAGCAAATAGCGCGGGGTTGGGGACGGGGGAGGTGAAAAGCAATGTTAGGATAGTAGTCAAAGAATATGTCTATTTGTCAAGTTACGGAATGTGTCAATAGATTATTGTAATCATTTAGTTTAACTTATATCTCAATGATTCACTGCATTGCCGGCCGAGAAAGTCAGAACAACCGTCAACCGCTGTCTCTACCGCGGGGTACAAGGTTGGATTGTTGTGTCGTGAACCAGCATCCGGCTAACATTAATAACAACCCAACCCACAGCGGCCATGGTTCGATCACATGACGGTCAACTATCATTGGAAATGGCCCGAGAAGAGAGAAGACATATGCACTCGATCGGGGATATGTATATACAGAACATGAACATGGTGGCTTTTATATTGAGGTACGGATCGATCTGGAACCACACCCTTTGATCATCACCTAGGCCGTGCAAAGCTGCATTAGCTCACCGACTCGTCTATTTTAGATTCCTCTAGGGGTTTGCCCAGCCATCCTGAACCCCGATGCTCAATTTTTTTTCCCCCTTTTGTTGCAAGAATTATGTTTCCTTCGTGTGCTAAAGGGGATGCAATACTATCATTATTGACTAAATTAAGCTTCCTAGTCTAACATTGAGCTATGTAGTTGCTTCGTTTTCTATCGAGACATCTCTACGAATATTTCATCACATTCCAGGGAAGAAATACGATAACCACAAGTTACATAGTTAACACGAGACGAGAGTTTGCCGGAAGCCAGAATCTCCCGCCACGCTAATTACTGTGTTGATATGATATGATACAGCTGAGGACGGTACCGTACCAAGACAGGGCGGAGTCTGCAGTTTGGAAGCTTATCTATCCTTGGCTTGTCACCCCGTAGCCAACTCACAGACTTTTGAGGACAAGAACAACATCATATTTAAGCAAAGACAATCGAGAACTCTAGATCAGCATTCATAATATACAATTTTGCTCCGTATCTATAGCAAAAGAAGAGGAGGGATTTCGTAGCAATATACTACTAGATGCGCAAATGGCTAAATGCAGGAAAAGATCAACGGTTTATAAATGTGTACCCGACAAAACAAAATAAACGCCTCGCTATGCATCCCTCGTAGAATAGAGGGAAACCGAAAAGGAAACCAGGAAAAACATCAGAAAAAGCAGCGGGCAATCGAGTATATCAAGCCAAGCCTGGGAGGGTTGTCAAGCCAAAAGAAGTCCTGGCATAATTCTCAGCTTGTTCGAGTCAAGTATATCAATAGGAGTTACGGACGGTCCGCCCCTAAACAATTAAGTCTTTTCGAGTAGTTCCTTCGCTTCGTTAATCTTAGAGGCGATGTACGGGCTTCCTCCTCGGTCCGGATGGTTCAGCAGCATGAGTCTGCGATGATTCGTTCGGATTTTGTCTTTATTCATGTTCCGTTCACTGCGTTGATTATTTGTATATTAGTAAAAGGGAACCTCTTATATTATTGCGCCTGCAACCCAAGGTTTCGCGTGCAAAAGGATACTTCATATTGAACAGGTTGGGGAAAGGGTGACAACACATACGAGAGTTCCAAGATAAGCGATGCCTCGCGCCTATTCATGCGTGGTTCGAATCCTCCTTTGTAAAATGCTTTCCCCAAGCTGTTTACAGTACCTCTGGATCGGCGATAAGCAACGAGACCAGCACGACCCTACATTAAACAAATGTCAGTTTCCATTGCTCCACGGGTGGTATGACGATAATAGTTGCAGTGGAAACGAACCAGAAAGGCGGCAGTAGCGACGCCAACGCCGACGGCCAGAACGGATGCCATATTTGCGGATAGAGGAGATCGGCCAGAGAACGGAGAGGGTGAAGATGAGTGCGGGACGGTGCGACAAAGCAGCGGTGGTGATAATTTTTCGCCGTTCGATGAAGTTCAGATGTTCGGAGAAGGGAGAGAAAAACTGCTGAACGCTAGTACTAATAAAGGCTAGTGTCATGAGATGTCACATGACCGACGGCCCAGCGAACAAAAAGTCGAAACTTGAAAAGGTCGAGAGAGTGGGAAAGCATGAGAGACCAAGGTCGACTCGTTTCAATCAAGGCTCGCTGTCTAAGGTCCTACTATCGCATTAGCAGCCATGAGGTATGCCTCCGCTTTATTAAGCTCTTTCTATGTAACACCGTGCAGCTTACCCTAACTACCGTGAAATCCAGAGTCGAGACCTGCCATTTCTGTTCCCAGCCATGCTATCCCAGCAAAGGCATAACATTTGTGCGCAATGACGCCCGTACATTTCGCTTCTGCCGCTCGAAATGTCACAAGAACTTCAAGATGAAGCGACAGCCCCGCAAGCTGAAATGGACCAAGACTCACCGTGCCCTCCACGGCAAGGAGATGATCGTCGATTCCTCGCTGCTCCTATCCCAATTCGCCAAGAGACGAAATGTCCCCGTGAAGTACGACCGTAATCTGGTTGCAGCCACGATCAGGGCTATGGAAAGAGTGGAGGAGATTAGACAGAGGCGCGAACGTGTATTTACCAAGAGAAGATTGGCTGGCAAGTTGGCGCGGGAGAAGCAGAGAGCAGAAGACAGGAGAGTGGTGGCCGAGGGGGAGCACCTTATCCGCAAGGAGCTCAAGGAAAGAGAGGAGGAAAACGTGCCGCTGGACACAAACAAGAATCTCAGCCAAGTTATGGGTACGGAAAGGCTACGGACGAAGAAGAAGACGAGACTTTTGGTGGATGGTGGCACGCAGGACGAGATGGAAATCGACTGAGGGAGGGGGGGGGACGTTTTCTCGATACCTTTATTTTCGCTTCGGATATTTTGTTTTGGCTTCTTCATGTTACAGCGGGGTAATATATCGGCGTTGGGATTCCTATCTTCTCATGTGTTTCCTTTGTTAAGACTAAAAAGAGTGGGTTTTCATTTTTGGATTGATTTACTTTTTCGCCTCATCTGCAGTCCCACCGTTCTTGGATGTCCTTTTACAGACTACGGTATTGCTTCCTCTCAGAATATGATGATATCTTGGAATCCATACAAGCGTTCCATTGGCCCCTTCCACGTACACAGGATTTACTCTTCCCCAATCTCCTGCAGTATGGCCTTTCGTTCTACATAGCCGTTGATACCGAAGCCGCCATGGTCTGAGATTTGTTTGTTTAAGCCATGCAGGTAAGAAATACCCCGCGTCCAGTGTATGTATGGTGTGATATGCATATACACCTCCTTCTGCCTCAAGGGAATATCCGGCGAAAAATGGCATCTCGCTGCTTGTGAGGTAGGCACGATCCACGGTTGACTGACTCTATTGGTTTGTTTATTTATTCACGACGCGCCGCGTGAATAGCAGCGTGAATAGCAGAACGTCTTCCTCTTCACGCTTCTCTCAACAACACAACACAACTACAACACAACTTACACCAACACAACTCAAACTCAACACACAATAGGCGCTGCTTTATCTGCTTCTCGAGTATCTCATTTTCTTTATCTCTCTTCATCTGACACACTCATCATCAATCAATACACGCAATACAACTACCATCACCATCAAATTTTCTATCAAACAAATCATACAAAGAGCTTCAAAGAGCTTCAAAGCTCCTCAAACCGGAAGCTTTAACCTCGATACTAAAATCAATTATAAACCAAACAAAGTAAGTTGATAGTACGGCTCTTTGTTCTTGGTCAGATTCATAATGGTTACATGCTCACCTCCACTCAGTATCCAACAGCAGCATGCTTCTGTTTCCGTTCTTGGGGCTTGTTGTGTCCCTGACCCTCTGGGGCACGTTCTACCCTGTGCCATTTACCGATGTCCGCCCTCACGGGCCCTTCATGGGCAGAATTACAGGGGCAATTAAGGCCTCATTTTTATTGACGGGCACTTATGAGTTCATTTTAACCGCTGGTTCGAAGGCCACCGGCGCTCTCCAACATGAGTCGTTCTCCAGTTCCTCAGGGGCCCCCGGATTCCCTATTGACACATATCTTGATGATATGTCTTGCAACAGCAGCTCCTGGGCATTCACCACGGCAACACTCTCCAATCCATGTCTCTCGCGAGATATGTATTCCAGCAATTCCTCAGAAATCGCTTTGGTCACTGAGCCTCTGGAAACTCCTCATGTTGCTACCAGCGGCATCGAGAAGGCCCACACTACGCAATCAGCCCAGTCATCCACTTTTCTACTGGAGCTGGCTCTCGGGTCCCTGGTAACTGTCCTTGTCTGTTGGCTGAGTCTTAGACTCATGAATAATGCTTACACACTGAAGGATTTGGCCCTCTCCTTGGGTAGACTTTTCGTGCCTTCACCCGAGGTGGCCAACCACCTCGTTATGACATCTGGCCTGACTGTTACGGTCAACTCGAGCAATGATGTGGTCTTATTGCCCACACCGGAAGCTTGTGGGTCCGTAATGGCCATGGCCGAGTCAGCTTTGGGCATGGGGCAATCGGGTGTGAACCCCATCTACTCCATGGAGAATAGGTCTTTCTTCACCGGCTCTGTTGCGACGTGTGACGCTTGGCTGTCAACCCCTGCATTGGTTACAGGCTCACAACTGGTGGACTTCCATCCGGTTGTCGACGCGGTAATCAATCGCTTGGAGCGACTACAGGTCGGAGCGCCCGTTAACTGGTCGGATTGCATGGCCGCAGACTCTGATGCCACACCCGTGGGAAAAGTCAACAACGAACCCGGTTCAACTTCCGAGTCGTCTGTCACATTCGCTCCTGTCCGTATGCCCCAGCTGACGGCGCTTGTGCTCCGTCGGTTTGAAAACATCTCGCACTTCGTGCTCCTGCGGCTCGTGTTCGTTATCGTCGCGGCCGTAGGTGATGGGCAAACGGTCGCGGAAAATACTAGCAGCCCCGACAAGGAAGAAGGACCCCCGCAGCGCCCAAAGAAGAACAGGATGGGCCAGAGGCAGCGACGTCGAATTTACCAGCGCGAGATGCGTAAGCAGCAGGCGGAACTGATAGAGCGCCTGGATGCGGGAACTGATGATGGATCCAATCCATCACCGCAAACCCCTCCAGGTCCTGTACCAGCCTCGTCTGCTGGCCATGTCGTGCCGTCAACAGTTGCGCCGATGGTTCCAAGTCGGCCTGCCATGCCTGTGAATCCGCAGGGCCAGGGGAATGGGTTCCGCCCGCCTCATCCACATCCGCCTCCCCCCCATTGGCAATTCCCAGTAGTTGCTCGACAGCCGCCCTTCCCAGGGCAGGGAGGTCCGGTGACACCGTACCCTTGGCAGTACCAGCAGTACGGCTATCCCCACGCGTTCAACTTTCGTTAGTTCGCTAGATACTGGTTGAGGACAAAAGAATCTGCTCCACCCCACTTGATGGAGTTTTTCCTCCGGCCTTTCGTCAGATTGGTTCGGTGTAGGTGAACGAAGTCAGGCGGGAGAGCGATCTTTTTGACTCTTTAACCAGTCTGGTGAAAATTCGGAAATGGACACGTCGATGAGAAATCGAGGGATACGGCTGTGTGGGACCCCGAGACGGTTGGCACGGGGTGTCGGATTTGAGAAGATTAAGCATAAAATAAGGAGGGTCAAGGTTAGTATATCATTTTCCAAATCATACCCGGATACTCATCTCCTAATACGTTCATAGATTGCTTTTTCGGGGGAGCGGTGGGCTATGATCCATCCGCAGGACCTCGCGCCCCCTTGGATCTCGGGAAAATAAATCCACGCCACTTCCATAGTGGGATGAATCCGCAACTATGACAATCCCCGACAACATCCCGCCCAGTCCACAACCTTGTTCGGATTCAATCACTCTTCTATTTGAATCTCCACTTCTCCTCGAAATAAAACATCTGTGGCTACGGAAGTCAGTATCTCCAGCACGGAGAGCACAATATTGGAGATGAACGATTGAAGATGAACGATTGGAGATGAACAATTGGAGATGAACGATTCCTTTTTGCATTGTATCGGGTGTATAGAATTGGAAACAAGTGATTGATTGAATGAGATACGATGAAGAGAAAGAATGATTCTTTCACTTATGATTGTTTCCGCTGTTTTGATCGGTTGATGTTTGAGGCTTTGTTTTTCTTCTGAATCTTTCTTCTTTTCAGTTTGTTGTCAGTCATTTCTACTTTTTATGCATTGGATACCCACTTTTGCATTTATTTTACTTTGTTCAGTGTATTTTTTATTTAATTCATGTATGTGCTTTCATAAAGCTTTTCAATACATAATGTATTTTCATCAAATCAATCTGTCTTTCTGAAATTGTATAGATTATGTCAAATCTACTTTTGCTTTCCTGATAGACTTGAAGATAAGAATAATACATATACTCTTATTAACTCACTACTCTTTTCTTACTATACCTTGTCTCTTATGTGAATAGTGTCAGAATAATTTCAAATAACTTACTCTAAATATAAAGAGTAATAATGAAGTAAAAGTAGAGATGATGTACATGCAATATATACTTATAAACAGTGAGATTATATACAGTGCTGAAGTTATAACTTGTTTCTGAGAGTTAATAAATTTCAGACTCTCTTATCAGATAGTAGATAGTTATATCATGAATTTCAGTGATTTTCTATATTCTAAAATATATCTCTATTTCATACATATCTATTTTTTATAACTAGTGTGTAGTATATATTTTTATCTTTCTTTTCTCTTATTCTTTCAACATGTATGATTTTTTCTAATATTAAGTGACTTTCTCAGAGATCTCTCATTTTTTATTATATATATATATATGATATTTTTGATCTTTCTCTGCTTATATAGTTGTTTTTAAGAAAAATTATTAAGTTTTAAAAAATATTCATTTCTTTTTTTCTCTTTTGATACTCTTTTCACTTGATCTCATCTGAAGAATGATATAGATATTATAGTATCATAGTAATAGTTTAGTATAGTTATAGTTATAGTTAATAGTTGTATGGTATGTTGTATGGTATGTTGTATGATATGTTGTTTATATATATGTAAATTTAAAAAAGTAGGCACGAAAACCAATAGACAGTAAGAAAAAAAAATAAAAAATAAAAAATTTGAAGGTGTTTGAACAGCCATAAATATAATAATAATATAAGTAATAATGAAAAAAAGTGAAATGGGAAAAGGGGGGGTTGGGTTGTTGTATAGAAGTGGCCCGGGGAGGGGAGGAAGGGGGAAGGGGAGCAAAAACAAAACCGCAGGAAAAAAAAAAAAAAAAAAAAGCAAAAACCACACCAAAAAAGTAAGGAACGAGAAAAGGAGTTGTTAGCTAGCCATAATATCATCATATCAAAAAGAGAGAGGGGGAGAGGAGAGAGAGAGAGAGATAAGAAAAAGAAAGAAACTGAGAAGGCCCCTTTCCCACCTCGATTCCCATTCCCATTTTCCATTCCTCTTGCTCATATTCCCATCCCTGCATTCCACTTCATATCATTCCGTTCCATTCTCACTCCTCACTCCTCCATCCGCCCAAAAACACCATCATCGTCATCATCCATCGGCACACCAGAACCCCCCCGATCCCGATCCCGATCCTGCGCAAAATCATCATCGTCATCATTATGATTGGTATTAGTCTTAGCCTTGGCTTTCAGCATCGCCTTGTTGCTGCTGCCACTGCGGCGTCGGCCCCGGCTATCCAGCAACGGCACGTCATCCATCTTCACGTCCCGCACGTCAGAGACGCGGTAGGATAGGGACGGGTGCAGGCTTAGCGGGTTGTAGATGGTGGGTATCGAGGAGGCTTCGTGCCTTGCGGCGCTGGCGAGCGCGTCGAAACTGCGCGTGTTGCTGTTGATGCTGTTGATGCTGTTGATGCTGTTGATGCTGTTGATGCTGCCGGTGTGGTTGGTGTTGCTGCTGTTATTATCACGGTTGTTGTTAGCGAGCCCCATCCCCCCTCCCATACCTACGCCCATGCTCTGGCTCCCCAGGAACCTCGCAGGCAACGGTGGGACAGGCGGGATATCCGGGGACATGGGCACGGGTCCGCTGCGGGGCGTGCCGAAATGGCACAGCTCAATGGCGGCCGCGAGTCCTGCTTCGTCGTCGTCTAGCAGGCCGCCGGTTTCCGCTGTGGAGGGTCGCGTGTCTGTGCTTGATTGGCGGAAATGGGAGCGGGAGGGGGAGAAGGTGGGTGCACTGCCGGTGAAGGAGCTGGAGGGCATGGATTGGAAGGAGCGGGAGAAGCTGTTTGCGCTGAAGCGGTGGTTGTGGCTGAGGCTGTGGTTGCGATTGTGAGGGCTGGAGTAGGTTCCTGGAGGTGGTGGTTTCGCTGGGGTGGTGGTGGAGAAGATGCCTTCTTCGCCGGCCGGGGGTGGGGTGGTTTCTGCTGAGCTGATGCCATCGCGGAGCTCTGAGATGCCGGATGCGGTCGGGGAGGCGGAGGAGCGGTCGGATTCTCCTGTGCGTTGTTGCTGGTCGAACGAAGACGCTGGGGTTTCGGGGTTCATGTTTACCAGGACGGTGGCAGCTTCGAGGAGCTGGACTTGCTGGTGTTTCGAGATGAGGAGCTTGGATGTGTAGGCCCATGCTGGGTCGTGTCCCACCTGTCGTCAATGGTTAATCGGGCGTGCACAAAAGAAAAAAAAAAAAAAAAAAAAAAAAATTCCCCCGATAACTTTTGAATCAATGGGTGATGTAAAACAACTCAAATAAATGGAAGGCGAGGGAAGAAAGGGCAAGAAAAGAATAAAGAAATGAGGAAAATATCGGGAAAATACAAGGTTCCATGGTCTTTTCTCAGAGGTTGTAGGGTAAAATGACATGCATGCAGCATGAGGCACAGCCCAATCGCTTGAACTTCGCGGGAAAAGGGAAGAATAGATAACCTGAAACCGCGCAGAACATCCAATGGAGAGTATATGGATACGTACATATGCTTCGTCAAGCAGCTGCTATGTTTATATCCCTTCCCACACCGTTCACATCTCAGCTCGTTCATGACTCGTTTGCCTTCTCCGCGGACGAGGTGAGCACCCTCACTTGCTCGACGACTCCGTTGCTTCGTACCAATGGGTTTCCCCGTACTGCTGTTCATTGCACTAGCACCGCTACCGCCAAGGGGGGAGACATCTTCCACCGCGGTATTCTCGTCAATGGAATTGGGCGAATTCTTGCGTCCCGGGGTGCAGTTCTGGGCAGCGTTCCGGGCGAGGTAAGAGCCAAAGCCCGACGCGGTACCTATGGAGGTGGATTCGATGGCCCTTCGAGTGCTCAGGCCTCGGCGGTGGTGATGGTGGTGGTGGTGGGAGGAGGTGGAAGTGGACAAGGCCGCGGCGCTGGGGGATTCGCCCATGGCGACGGCGACGGCGGCAGCGGTAGCGGCATTGCTGGCGGCGGTGGAGTTCATGCTTTTTCGGCGGGTGACACGGTGATTGATGTTGATGGCGCCGAGGGAGACGGAGTGGGAATGGTGACGGCCATTGGATTGGCGGAGAGGAGGAGTGGTATGGCTAATGGGCCGTGAGGGGGTGGAAGAGAGGGATTCCTAAAGATGGTGGGGGAAGGAGGGGAGAGGAGGTACAGTTAGTTATTCTGTTCCACGAGGAATTGGACTGAGGGTCCGTTACGATGAGATTCAGACTGAGGATTCAGGACTCACCTTGAAAGAAGTCATTTTTGGGGAAAGATGAGGATTGGCCGAGGGGGACTCTTCCACAGCAAGTCTCAGAGGGAGAGCTTGTCGTGAAAGAGCGTAGGGTGAGGAGTCAAACTTTGGAGGAAAATGAAAAGAAAGATGCGAACAAAGCGGAAGAGCAACAAGAAGAAGGAGAAGCAGAAGAAGGAGGAGAACAGTCGTGGAAGAAGTAGAAACGAGGCGAGAAAGGGGAGAGAATTAGCAGCAAACACGGCAGTAATTGAGTGTGGAGGATCAGCCCCGGCGGCAGCAGAGAGAGGTGGAGTTAGATAGAGCAACGATCAGGCTAGACGGAGGCCAGCAAGAAGAATAGTAAAAGAAGAGAGCGATAGACGAGAAGAACCAAGGAGAGCAGAGGGAGGAAGAAGCAGAGGGAGGATAGGAAGATCGATAGAGTTGAGGTTGGAGAAAAAGAGTAAAAAAATATATTCGTGGAAGAATATAAGAAACAAAAGTCAAGGAAGCAGAAGGTTTTGGAGCAGGTTTGAGCATGACCAAAAAAAATAAAAATAAAAATAAAAAAAAATAAAAATAAAAAAAAGATAAAAAAAGATAAAAAAAAGATTAAAAAAAAAGATAAATCCAAAGCAAGGGAAAAAAGAAGCTGGAGGAAATGATATCAAGAGAGAGCAAAGCAAGTTGAGTAGAGATCACTTTTACAAAGAATATTATATATTTGATATTCTTAGTATTTCTATTATTATAATAAAATAGTTAACTAATGATAACTATGATTGATTTATTTGCCAGCAATAATAATTAATATATTCCACCTCTTTCTTTCTTTCTAACAGGTCTGATTATCCATCTATAGTAGTAGTTCTTTATTAACCTCTTAGGTATACAGACTGTTGTAACTCTCTATCCATTCTCTCTTCCTTTTCTTGCCCTGAAATTCCGACCAAAAATTTATTATTATTATTATTATTATTATTATTATTATTCTGTTTGTGCGCCGCAGGAACTTACTTACGCAGTATTTATTAGAGCCAACAAGTAAAAACCAGCATCACCAGCAAATAACTAGCCAGCCAACAGCCAAAAAAATTAAAATAAAAATAAATAAAAATAAAATATAAAATAAAATAAAATAGGCACCGCAGCAGCAGCAGGGCCACGGGTGGCTCAACCAACCAACTGGCTGGTTCATGTTGCTCTACTAAGTTACTGCGTAAGCTCCAGACTCCAGAACTAACTAGTAACTAGTTAACTACGAAGAACGAATGGAGGCAATAAAATAAGCTACACAAGGGGCCTTATTCTATCCCCCCCTCTCTCTCTCTCTCTCTCTCTCCTCCGTATTAAGATTATTATTAGTCTGGTCTGGTCTGGTCTAGTCTGGCGCGAGAGAGATGCGGGGGTGGTGGACTCTTGGACTCTCTTTTCTGGCCCCTTTGGCTGCGGGTAAATCATCAGGCCCTATTTGTAAAGGTCTTTTTTTTTTTTTTTTTTTTTTTTTTTAGTTTTTTGTTGTTGCTTTTTTTCCATGCCTTTTTTTCTTGCCGATTCAGCTGTAGTAGTAGTAGTAGTAGTAGTAGTAGATTCTTATATAGAATATCCCACGATGTTCGTGATCTTGCCAGCCAGCGCTCAGCAATCGAGAGCGAGCGGGTTCCTGACTAGGGCCGAGTCCAGCAGCAGGGATTTTGTTGGCAGCGACCAGAATAGAGAGGGGGATGATTGAAATAAAAATAATAATAATAATAATAATATAGAAATATCGATATGTATCTAGTAGATTGACAGCTGTCAGAGGCCGATGCATGCATAGATTAGAATAACATTGTTATTGTATTATCATTTATTACTTCCGTTTATTACTCCGTTAGTTAACTATAATAACTATATTTGAGAGGCAAAAAAAAAAAAAAAAAAAAAAAAAAAAACAAAAAAGATCGCGAGTACCTGGCTGGTAGTTCACCAAAGCGCCCCACTCACTCAACTGCCAACCTTCGCCACTTCCAGGTTGCCGGCCGAATTATTTATGATCAATAAATTATATTTAATTCTTGGTGCCTGTGAAGAGCAGAATATGACGATGGTTATTCCCGGACAGAGTGGAGTGTCTCTTTTTTTGTGTTCATATTCCTTACAATTGTAGCCATGGTTTCTTTTACCTTCTATAGCACTATTTAGCACTATTAATTGAGAATGGAATAATAACTAATAGAGTAGATGGTTTATTTTTGAACTTTTTTTGTTTCAGTTTCATCATTCTATCTCATATGGAAAAAAATGTCGGTTTTCATCAGGATAGGCTATAATGTAAGTAGATAGCTTAAACCATCAAGGCAAAGGCAAAAAAACAAAGTCCAACCACCTAAGAAGGGCGGAATGCATGTATGTATTTCTCTCAGCAATAATATTCTTTCTTTCTTCTTCACCATGTCCATACCATACCAGATCAGATCACTAATAAGTTACATATTTTCTGCTCATTTATTATTACGCTTACTATTGCTGGTTTAACTAACTCACAACCAACGAACCAACCCAGCGCAGCCAATCGCCTGTTCGGGCCAAAAACGGAGACTTTTTAAGTCTTAACTCCGTCGTCGGACTAACTCTGTAACTACGCTGTAACGCAGCATACTACTCTACTACTATACTATAACTGCGTACATACTTATGAAGTTATGATAACGATACGTACTTCCATGCTCTCTCTGTCTTCAACGCTGACTATCTGAGTGGCTGGCTTGCGATCCTCACTCTTCCTGGACGGCGGGCTTCAGACCCTGATCCAGTCAAGTGTAAGTTAAGTTATTCTATAAGGGATCTTCTATCTAATCCCGATGTCAGTGCAGTGCCAGTTCTTCTTCCCTCCAAGCCCGTTCGGGCAATATTATGCTGCTACCTAGAATATCCTCTCCTCAACCTCCATTGAGTGGTCAACATTCGTCCAACACTCAATTCCCCTCCTCAATTGCTTCGAATATCCCAGGGTATGGTATATTCCAAAACATACGGCGGAATGGAGCCGTTCCCATCTGTAGAAGATGAAAATGGTCGCTCTCCTATCGCTGCTCAAGCATCAACACCCACCACGCCAACAACCAACATGGATCCCTCGACTCCAACCCAGCCTAACAGAACTGCCAACAACCCCCCCAATGCCTCCTCCTCGACCACTACTCGTCGCCTCCGCAGTGCCTCCCTGAAATTCCTCGAATCAAACCCTCCCTCGGGCATGTGGATGGCAACTGGGGATATCGCTTCTCGCGCTCCAACCCTCAACGAGATCCGCACAGGCTGCTTCAGTGCTGATGGCTGGACGGAGGAAGGCCAGTTGGAACGTAGAGGAAGCACGGCCCACGAGATCCAGCGTCGGAAATTGTCCAGAGCAAAAACCTTTGGCGCACGCATTGCTACATCTACGCAGTTGAATGCTTTCCAGGAGCACGAACATGAGGTGGAGCTCCAGCGGTGTTCTACAGATCCCCTATGGGGCAGCCGCAGCAATGATAATACGACGGCAAAAACGGAAACGAAGCAAAGGGATGAGGATATATCAGCCCCATCCGGCAGACAGCCACAGACAGTATCTGAAAAAAACGCCATAAATGCCAAATCCGCCCAGGCAGTAAAAACAACCTTGGCTGCTCCCATCCCCGATGAAACAGGCACATATCCCAACGGCTACCGCTTCCCGCCAAAACACACATGGACCCAGGCCACAATAATCGGCCTCAGGGGCTTTGCCCGCTTCGTAATCACCCCCTTCGGCTTTCTGGTGACGCTCTACGGCCTCAACATCGTAGCATGGGGCGCCATGATCTTCTTCCTGCTCCTCAACGTAGCGCCCGCCATGTGCAACCCAAGTTGCACCGCAGCAGAATCCGCCCGGCAAATCTGGATAGAAATCGACTCGCAGATCCTCAACGCGCTGTTCTGCGTCACGGGCTTCGGTCTCATCCCCTGGCGCTTCAGAGACTTCTATTACCTCCTCCAATGGCGAGTGATGCACAACCATGACGCCCTGCGCAAGCTCGCCGGTGTCCATCGGGGCTGGTTCAGACTGGCCGGCAGCGAGAAACTGCCTGGTGATCTCGGGCCGCCACCCGTTACATCCACCTCCCCGCCTTCCCCGCCGTCTTCTTCCACCAAGAACAAGAACGGAAACAACAATTACAACATGGCATACCCTTACACAGACGACGAAGAACTAACCCAGCTCCTCCTCCAAAACCCCTCCCTCCCGCTCCCGCCGACCTCCATCCCCCCAGCACCCCTAACAGGCGCCCGCGCCCCACCCACAAAACCCTTCCTCATGGACCTCCTCGTCTGGATGTACGTCATCAACACAGCCCTGCAAGCCGGCCTCGCGGGGATCATGTGGGGGCTGAACAGGTTCACGCGGCCCAGCTGGGCGGTAGGGTTTCTTATTGCTGCAGGCTGTGTTACTGGGATGGTTGCGGGTGGGATTGCGTTTTGGGAGGGGAGGAGGGTTAAGATGGTTGAGGGGGTTTCGGTTGAGGAGGAGGCGGAGGAGGATGAGGGCGGAGATGATGAAGAGGGGAGAGGAGGGGAAGGCGCAAGGGCGGAGGAAGGGTTGGGGTTGCACCTGGAGCTGACGCGGACGCGGACGCGGACGAAATCTTGGAAGAGGGCGCAGTGGTATCGGCGGCTTTGAGAGGTATGGTTGGTTTTATTATCCGCCTCATAATTTCAACCGGCAAACTTCCCCTATTTCCCCGAGTTCCGTCATGGAGGGTGTTTTGGCGTTTTTCTCTGGTCATTTGAGCCTCTTTCCCGCCCCTTTTATACCATTTTCCATATACCTCGCCTGCGCAATGATATCCCTAGCCTGTATATGTTTCTTTTGTGTTCCTGTTGTTGAGATATTTTTTTTATACACAGAATTTCTTGCAGGTTCTCCGGTTAGACCTTATCTGTCCGTCTTCAGGTGTGAGCTTTTTGTGGTTATTTCTTCTACACTACACGTCGTCCTTTGATTTTTATTTCTGTACCCAGTGGGCAGAACAAACGGATTGCATTGAAAAAGAGGTAGCCTATCCTGCTTTGGAACGCAGAATTCAAGAAAGAAATAAATATTGGCCCTTCCCAAAAAAAAATCACAACAGCGAACTAAGCAACAACCCCTTAAAAAGCCAATTGCTCACTTACTGCAACCCAAACTTCTCCTTCAAAAACTCCGGCCTACACACTGCATTGCCAGGACACGCCACGAACAGCGTCAGCACCTTCATCACCAACGCCTCCTTCTCCAACGCCTGTTCCGCCTCAAAATATCAAAATATATACATTCTCCGTCATGGCCCTAAGCCACCCGCCTCCTTGTCCTCCGTCAACCCTCAACCTCAACCCTCCCCACGAACTCCTCGCGATACACACCCCCGTGCTTGGCATACATACATATTCCCCCTCAGCTCCA